CTACCAAAGAGAAGAAGACAGAGGCCCAGGTGGGAGACAGGCTGCCCCCCGGCCACGTGAGCCCCAGCCCCTCGCCCCCGCCCGCCCAGGCCTCCCAGCCCGGCAGTGTTTGGTCAGAGCTTGGGGACTCCCTGGCACGAGTTTGGGATTGCACTCTGGGTCACACTAAGGTCTGGGGTTAGCTTACCTGGCTGGTGGGTCCGGGAAGCGCAGCCCAGTCCGGTGAGGGCAGGGCGGCGTCCTCAGTGCCCCCAGCACCCAGGGTCCCCAAGGCAACCTGTCTGGCTTCCAGCAGTGTCCGAGGCCCCGGGCCAGCCCTGCCCGGGGTGTTGAGGAGAGGTAGGTCTGCTGGAGTTCCATGCCGCTTTTGTAGAAAACGCATTTTTAGTATATCCAGGGTGGTGGTTTTTTCTTACAAGATGAAAGCCCTTGTTCGGAAACAAAATGATATCTTATACAGCCTCCTGGTCAACAGCTGTCGAGTCATGAATGCCCACCTCAGGCAGGAGATGGGCGGCCCCTGCATGCTGCCCGGGGGCAGGGGAGCTTCCACCGAGTCCCCCACAGACCCCGGCCCCGCTGGCCTGTGTCGCCTGTGTCCGGGAGGTGCTGATTCCCGCGGCTGCACTCCCTGCTCAGTGGGCAGCAGGTGCCTTGCACACTATTTCTGCAGCCCCGGAAACGGAGGACATGCCCACAGCCCCTCTGCGCCTTCCCCGGGCTCCTGCCACTGATGCAGGTGGAAGAGGAGAGTGATTGGAGGCAAGCACTCCTGCCAGTGCCAGCCCTCGGCTGCCTAGCTCACCTCTACAGTTGTAGAAGCAAGTGCCTCGTGTGGTTTTTAGTCTTTATGCGCACTCTTCATTAGGTTCATAGAAAAACACCTGTAATGCCAGCCCTGTCAGATGAGCAGCTAGCTCCTGCAAAGTTCCTCCACAAGGGCTTCCCAAGATGTGAGCCCCCCCCGGCCGCCAGGGCGGGTTGGGGGTCGCCGCTTTGTCCGGGGCGCAGGGCTGCCCTGGAGCTGCCTTCCTGTTCAGAATGCTCTTCCTTAGCTCAGCGCAGCTGGCGTGGAGAAGCACAGGGAGACACGCGCACCTGGTCCCGTGAGAGTGCGCATGGGCAGCGGGGCGGGGGGCTCCGCGCATGTCTGTCCGGAGACGCGGATGCAGCGGCGGGGCTGCCTTCCCCGTGGAAAACAAGGACGTGATGCGGCACTTAACGCCCTGGCTTCCGAAATGCTGGGAACAGCTGGGCTGAGCGAGCCTACAGGCAAACCCCAGCCATGCCACCCGCCGCCGCCTCTGCCACGCGCACCACACCCCTGCTAACACCCCCTCCCCAGAGGGCGGCCCAGTGCCTGGGCCAGGGGCGCCTAGACTCTGAACCGTACAGCTCTCTCCCTGACTCCATGGAAGGACCGCGCCCAATGCCTGCCTCTACAACCTCTCAGGGTACCCGCCACGGGTGTACTGAGGCAGCCCTTCATGCCCAGAACCACGCCCGGGGCCAAACCCTGAGGATGGGAATGCGTTTTACTGTCCCCTCCCCTGGAAGGTAGCGGAAGGGCAACTCCAGGATGGAGAGCGGCTGAGTCGACCAGGACACGTGGCCTAATTTAAGAGTGTGTCAGATTGTGTGGCAAATTAACCCGTGCAATTAACACACGTGCTTCTGTATATTTTTTCTATTTTGTAATCCTATTTAGAAGTATCAAAAAAAGACACAGTTGACTGATCAATAAACTTACGCAGAAACCCCTACCTGCCTCCTCCTGTTGGCTCTGGCGTTCCAGGGACCAAGTCCCTCTGTGTCTCGGGGCAGCTGTGGCCCCCATGTGTGCATTATGGAGTGACGTGGAAGAACAAGGAGGCAGTGTGCCGCCTCGGAATCCCGACTCGTCCTGCATCCTCTCTGGTGGGCAGGGACTCCCACAGTGTGGCTGCTGCTACAGCGAAGCCACTCCATTCCAGGTCTGGAACAGCCCCCAGGGGTAGCTGGAGCCCCAGCTGGGAGGGGCTCACATGCGGGCACTGAGAGCCGGGCGACTGGCATCGCTGTGCACGCTGGGGAGACTTGGGCCCCTGAGGCACGCTGAGGAGGTGGGGCCCTGCAGCCGCAGGTGCAGCTGTGCCAGGGTGGCACCCAGGTGCCCAGTGTCGCCCCTGCTTGTCACCTCACAGGTGTGCACCACCTGGAGCAGACACCTGGGCTCTTCCTGCTGACACCCATCCACCCTCTGAGTGGTCCACTCCCCTCTTCCCACCCCCACTCCGAGTCATGATAGACCTCACCCCGCTTTCCAGGGTGGGGGCTAAATGGCTGAGAGCCAGGCCCCACAGGCTTCTGTTCCAACTCCTGGAGCGCCTTGGTGTGAGGAAGGGAGCCTGCTGGGGCAGGAGGGCAGATGGCATTGAAAGGGATGTCCATAGCTGTTGGGCTGTTGGGGGCGGGGGAGGGAGGTCCAGCTGGAGTAGCTACTGTGTGGGGCATGAAGATACAGCAGACATGGGAAAAGCAGAGGGGACCCAGACCCGGGGTGACGTCACTTAGCTGCTGGGCCAGACCTCGCCTGAGGTCCCCTCACTGCTGGACTTGTTTCTGTTCATGGGAGCCAATTCATTTCCTTTACAGCGAGCAAGCCGGTTCAATGTGGGGTGTCCCTTACTTGCAACACAAGGTGCAGTGGCCATCAGGATCTCATTTCAGGGTCGCGTTCGGCCATGGCCAAAGAGGAACAGTCTTCGCCACGCATGCAGTGGCTTTCGTTGGGATTGAGCTAGGGAAGAGGAAAAGCAGTAGCCCCGGCCCAGCCACTGCCTAAACCAGCGCCTCTGCTGAGATCCGTGCGCAGAGCTCAGTGTAACTCAGTCTGCCCCCTGGTGCTCACAGCCAAGGGCCAAGGGTGTCAGGACAGAGGAAGCGTTATTGAGAATAAAGCCTGGGAGGGCTCACTCCCAGGTGAACACACAGCAGAGGTTGCCATTGAACACCTAGCAGAGAGAGAGCCCCCTCCCTTACAGACGAGTGTTTATATAGTATGAAGTGGTGGGAAGGGGCTTGGGTCTGCCAAGGTGCAGGGAGAGGCTGGGCTCGTTCTAAAGGTCCTGCGAGGTGACAGTGTGAGCTGGGAGAGCTTTGGGCTGAAGCTGAGGCTGGACTCTGGGGCCAAGCTGCTGAGCTGGGGGAGAGAGCTTGGGAGGAGCGGGGAGAGCTCAGGCTGCTGCCTGCACCCCTGATAGTGCTGCGTCCAGCGGTCCAGGCGGGGGGGGTGAGGGTGGGGAGGGCTGTGTTAGCAGGGCAGAGAAAGGGGGCTCTGCTTGCTGTATGTAGGTGAGAGGTCAACGTGCATCTAAGCCTTTTTGTCTTTGCTCCATCGAAGGGAACGCAGCTCAGTCTTCCCTGGGTTAAGGAGGTCGGGAGGACTTCCTGGAAGCGACAGGGTTTTAACCGAATGCAGATGACGGTGAACAGGAAGGGGCACCCTATGCTGGGAGAACAGCTCGCGGAGCCTTGTTAGAAAGCTGGAGGGCTCCGAGACCCCGGCCCGAGCACCTCCGATGGGCGAGTTCCTCTCAGCAGGCAAGGGGGACTCCGCAGGTGTGCAGACACTGGTGGTGGCACACAGGCAGGCGAGGTATCCAAACGGGAAAAATCAGCCCGGGCTGCTCCACACTGGGCAGCCACGACTCACCAGAGAGGAGCGTGGACGCAAGGCAAAGGGGTACTCAAGAGCCGGCAGTCCTGGGGCAGTGGGGCATCTTCCGGCTCAGCAGGGCTTCTCCCGCCTTGCTAGCTAGCCAGACCGTTTGCAGGGGTGGGGGGTGAAGGCGAGTTAGGAGGAGGTGGGGGGAGCGGTCGACTCATTTTGAAAGTGGGCTTGGAACCGTGGGGCGGGCAGTGGTCCCTTGGGCTCGAGCTTGGTGGTCGCAGGTTGCTTCCTCGCCTGAGGTCCTGTGCTTGCAGCCAGGTCCCTGTTGTCAGTCCCTGGAATTCTTAAGCCAGCACTGCCTGCTGAATTAAATGAAACCCCTTTAGTCATAAGATCAGCTGGCCATTAGCTCTTGTCAATCAGAATGAAAAGGCAAGGCAGCCGTGTTGTGAGCCACAGGACTCAGCACAGTCACGGTAGGAGACCAGGAGGAGCATGTGCCCCGGCCACAGCCAGCTCCTGGGAGCCTCTCCGTGGAGGAGACTGGCATGTCAGTCCTGGGCACCACTTCTTAGGGGCAGCGCCTTCCAAAAGCAGCCCCCGGGCTCCAGGGAAGCCTCGCCCACCAGGCCAGGACGGCCTGGGTCTGATGAGCACCTGTGTGTGGACTGCTCCCGGGGGCCAGTGCTCCCTCCTACCCCCAGCCTGGGGGCTCTCAAGAAGAGGACCCTGGAGGTGCACAGGCCGACCCAGACCAGTGGGCAGCCCACGGGCCACCAGCCAGGCTGCGGTGCCCCCACTATGCTCCCACCAGAGCCTGCAAGCCTCGTGTGCCACTGTGGAGGCTGCAGAAGCCGAGGGTGGGGGATGGAGGAGGAGACCCTCCAGTGAAGGGCCCAGAGCATTCTTGAGCCACCCCCTCCATGTCTGGGCCACGCCCTGCAGCAGGTGGGAGGACAATGCTGCCTGTGTGCCGTCACCCGGACCCGCTCGCTCAGGGGAGGGCCACGGTGTGGCCCCAGCACTGACTGCAGCCGCTCCTCACGTCTGCTCCCTGCACAGCCCCTGCTGTGTGCTCTCCAGGCAGCAGGGCCTCCTCCCCAGGACCCGACATCCCCCAGGTGAGCCACTCCACCTGCCCTGCTCAGCCCAAGCCTGGCAGCAGGGGCTCGGTGTAGAATACGGGGGGAAGGGCAGAGCATGGGGGCTCTGGGGTACTCACGTGCAGAGCCAACAGCACCAGCCCCGGCTAGGCACACTCCAAACCACAACTCTTACCCAATGGGGTGGGGGCAGGCTGGCTGGTGGGGCCCCCAGGCCTCAGGCAGAGCGGTTGTCTGGGTACCTACTCCTTCCCCACCCTCCGTGTCCCCAACAGATCCAGGCTTAAGGAAATGCCCAGGAGTTCCTTGGCCCCAGAGCCCTTGTAGCAGGAGGCCCAGTCACGGAGCTCCGGTCCCCGGGCAGTGCAGGTACAGCCATGGCTTCTGAGTACGAGACGGGCCACATCCGCCAGCTGCAGGCACGGCACACGCAGATGCAGGAGAAGACCTTTACCAAGTGGATCAATAATGTCTTCCGGCATGCCCGGGTGAGTGCGGCCTCCGCCGTGACCCCCACCCCCACCCCCACCCCGGCTTTGGCCAGCAGAGTTCCTTCCTCCGAGGCAACTGCTCCGGGCCTGTACCTCCCAGGTTCCAGGATGGGGTGGGCAGGCGAGGCTGGCTGGACTCGGAACCATCCCTGTCCCCTCCCCAGGTAGGCATCCAGATCCAGAACCTGTACACAGACCTGGCCAACGGCGCCCACCTCCTGCGGCTGCTGGAGCTCATCTCAGGGGAGGCCCTGCCACCGCCCAGCCCCGGCCGCATGCGTGTGCACTTCCTGGAGAACAACAGCCGGGCTCTGGCCTTCCTCAGGGCCAAGGTGGGCTGCAGGCCATGGGGTGGGCAGCCAGGACAGGCCGGATGGCTAGAGCATCTTTCCTGGGCTGTACTAGAGGGGGAGCAGCTGGGAAGCGGAGGCATGGGAAGCGAAGCCCTTGTTGCACTGCGCTCCTGGCTTGCGCAACACACAGCTGACCCATGCAGGGACAGTCACACCTAGGGGGTGGACAGTGCTGTTGTCCGTGACAGGAGAGACCACCAGCTCCAGGCTGAGAGACACCCAGTGATCTCCCGGCCTTTTCATTCCATCAACGAGAGCACGGAGGTCTGGAATCACCTGCCAGGTGAGACCCCTGGTGGGCCAGGCCACCAAGCCTGGAGGGAGGGCAGGAAACCAGGAGGAACTGGACTCGGAGCCTGGAAACAGGGGAGGGGTAGGCCAGAGGGACAGTCACTAAGGCAGGCTCATGGTCAGGATCAAAGGGCCATGCTGGGTCACCGAGACTGGGAATGGGAATGAGGAAGACCAAGGGCCCCCAGTCTCAGGTGCTGATGCTGGGCAGGGGCTGTCCCTGGGGGCTGGAGCAGAAGGCCGTGAGCTGTGGAACACCAGGCCCTCCTGGGTCTCAGGGACAGTGAGCCAGGCATCTTCCCTCCAGGCACCTGGGGAAGGCGGGGGCCCTATGGCCCTTGTCAGAGGCTGTGCAACTGTCCCCCAGCCTGATGTCAGCATGCCACTGCCACCTTTGACAGTGACATCCTTAACCCCATGTGCACACAAGATCACCGTGGCCAAGGCAGGACAAGGGCACAGCTAATGAGTGGCAGAATGTGGAAGGCATCGGTTTGTGATGCAGAGTTGGCATGCACTGGGCATTCTGTGCTAGGTGCCGGGGGTACCCCAGCCAAGCCCGGAGCCTGACCTGCAGAGCCTGGGGCTTCAATGGTGGGCACGATGGGACCCAGGTCAGCATTGTGCTGGTCACATCCAACAACCGCCTCTCTGGGAAGTGACAGCTCTAGTGTGTAAAACTGGCTGACTGCCACAGCACTGACCATCATGGCCGAGTTCAAGACAGCAGCGTGATGTCATGAAACATGAGGTCGCTAGGAGCAGACTGGAGCCCCCACCAGCCAGATGCCCAGGTCCACGCTGAGGAGGCAGCGGCAGGGGTCATGTGCTAGGGACAGGGGGAAGAACACAGATACAACCGCACACCCAAGGGAGGCGACACCCTGGCTGCCGCACCTCCCGTGGGGCTGGCGGGCAGCCCAAGCAGACGCCTGCAGGTCTCATGGGGAGCCTCTCTCCCTCCCCCTCATCAGTCAACACCCCTATACTGATTAGCCACTATGGCCAGACATCTACGAGGTGCCTGGGATGCATCAGAGAGCAAAACAAGGTCTTCAGCAGAGTAGGCAGAGGGGACAATCCTTGCGTTCCAATTTGTTTTTCTAAGATTTTATTTAATTGAAAGGCAGACAGAGAGAGGGGGACTTCTATCCATCTGCTGGTTCATTCGCCAAATAGCTGCAACAGCTGGGGCTGGGCCAGGCCAAAGACAGGAGCCAGGAGCTTCATCCTGGTCTCCCTCTTTGGGTGCAGAGACCCAAGGACCTGGGCGGTCTTCCGATGCTTTCCCAGGAGCATTAGCAGAGCTGGATCGGAAGTGGAGCAGCCGGGACACACCTTGAACTTCAACACCAGCCCCTCTGGTTCCCGTTTTAATGGTGCTTGGTGGAGGCCTCACTGAGACAGAGACATTTGAGTAAAACCAGGATAGAAGAGCCACAGTGTTCTCACACAGCCACAACGGCTGGGCTTAGGATGCAGAACAAGACTCTCACGGCCTTCGAGTGGTGGCTGGGGATCGTGGAAGACAGAGCAGAGCACCAGGGGCTTGCTGTCCATCCTCCTGCCCGAGGGGCAAAATCTAGGCAGAGGCTCCCAGCGTCAAGGCTGTGAGAACACCCAGGCCAGGTTATCTGCCACCCATGTTTCCCAGCTGGGCGTGGGCCCAGCCTTGTGCCCTGCGTGATTCTCCCTGGGGGACCTCCTGGCCAGAGGACCATCCCACCCCCGACTTTCGGTCCCTCTGAGCCCTCTCTGGCACAAATGGCCCTTGCCCAGCCCAGCCTGCTGTCCCCACAGGTGTCGGTACCCCTCGTCGGGCCAGAGAACATCGTGGACGGAGATCAGACACTCGTCCTGGGACTCATCTGGGTCATCATTCTGCGTTTCCAGATTTCGCACATCTCCCTGGACAGGGTGTGTCTCCACCCCAGCACCCCGTGCCCCCCCAGCCCTGGCCTCACCTGTGGCCCCTGGGGACAGAGTGGCAGCACCTGTGCATCTGCAAAATCCATAGTCAGGCTTCAGCCACGGTAAAGAACCGTGAACATCAGAGAAACGTCACATGGACTAGGTGGGAGCTCAGACATGGCTGGAGCCCGAGGTCACTCCCCGGGGAGGGGTGGGCTGACTGCCCGGCACCACTTCGCCCCCATTTGTGAAACCCCGCCACTTTCTTTACTGGTTCCGCTTTGTACGGACGCCGGAAGTCCCGCTTCTGGAGGTTTACAAAGCTGCCAGGGCCCAGCGCACCGCATGGGCAGTGTTTCCCTCCCACTCCCCGTCTATATCCGAGAGAGTGTAAACATGGAGCCCTTACACTGACCAACTTTCACGGTTGCTAAAACCGCATCCCAGCAGCATGGAGAGCCAGCAGAATGGAGGGGAGCCACGGACTGGGCGCCAGCTGCACGGGAACCCTTGAAGCTCAGAGTGACGGGAGCTCCCGAGGGCAGGGCCTAGTCTGCTGGTTCCCCCAGGGCATCTCTTTTGGGGAAGGAAAGAGAGGGAGGGAGAGAGGAAGGAAGAATTTCTCACTGGCTTCGAGCCCTTTCAGGGGCTTCCGAGGGCTCCCCAGGCCCCTGAGCCAGTGTCAGGGGCTCCCAGCAGCCCTTCCGCTTGGGAGCAGCAGGTGCTCCTTGCCGGCTCTGATTGTCTGCAGCTTCCGCAGGGAGGAGAGGCTGGAGGAGAGACCGGCCCCGGGGACTCCTCACTGTGGGAAGGGTAGCAGGGACTGAACCCAGAGCTGGCTGTGCCACCTCCCAGCCCAAGGCAGCCCCAGAGGCTGAACGTGGGAGGCAGGGGGTTCTCTGTCTGAGGTCGCTGGGTCCAGGCCAGCCCCTCTACTTATTGGCCAGGGGGCTGGGCAGCTTCCTACTCTCTCACTGCATCTGATCCATCACCTGTGGACGGTAAATACTAATAGCGCCCACCTGGCAGGGCCACGAGGGGCTGAGGCTGCGGCGTGTGGGCCTGGCAGCGACAGACGCTGGGTCTGATGGGGCCACAAATGGGAGCTGTGGCTGTCGAGGTCACCAGCATGACACAGAGACAGTGGACACAGATGGGACCAGCAACCAATTTCCATTGGGCTGCTTCTTCCTCACCCTGATCCTCACCCATCACAGATGAAACGGGGTAAAATTAGAGGCACTGGGGAGAGGGGGACCAGCACCGCCTCCAGGTGGGCCTCCCCCCTCGCCTGCAGGCTCCACTGGCCACCCACAGTCCCTGTTCCCGCATGGTGACCCTGCTGCCCTGTCCTTCCAGGAAGAGTTTGGGGCCAGCGCAGCCCTGCTGTCTGCTAAGGAGGCTCTGTTGGTCTGGTGCCAGCGGAAGACAGCTCCCTACGCCAACGTGCACATCACCGACTTCTCCCGCAGCTGGAGCGACGGGCTGGGCTTTAACGCCCTCATCCATGCCCACCTGTGAGCAGCAGAGGCTGGCTCCGCCCCTCCCCATCCCTCCCCACCCCCCCACCCCCACAGCCACTGCTCCAGGGCCTGGGTCTTCCACCTGACCAGTCTCCCACATCCTGTCTGGACCCTGGAGGAGGAGGACAAGTGCCACAGAGTCCTCAGTTTCAGTCGGCCCCGCCCTCTTCCCTAGGCAATGCCATGGAATCGGCCACGTTTGCCTTTGCCCCCTGCCCCTCCTGGGCCCTGGTTCTCTTCACAGTCCTCTCCCCAGAAGGGCCTGTTCCCTGGGAGTCCTCTCCCCTCTCCCTGCGCAGGACTAACCTCCGCTCCCTCGGGGTTCTGTCCTTCAGCTAACCACTAACTCAAGTCCACCTAACCCAATACCATAAGCCCTGCTGCTGAAGAGCCCACCCTGCCGTCTGTCCAGGCCGGGCCTGCTGGACTACCACGCCCTGCGTCCAGACCGCCCGCTGCACAACCTCACCCTTGCTTTCCGCGTGGCCGAGCGTGAGCTGGGCATTGCTCAGCTGCTGGACGCCGAGGACGTGGCCGGCCTGCAGCCGGACGAGCGCTCCATCATGACCTACGTGTCCCTCTACTACCACCACTTCTCCCGCCTGCGCCGGGGCCGCACTGTCCACAGGAGACTCACCAAGGTTGGTGGCCAAGCGAGGCCTGCCAGCTGTGGGGAGCTCCACCCCGGGGACAGGCAAGATGAGCCAGGGCCCCCCATATCTGACAAGCCTGGGACAGACCCTGCCCCCTGCCCCCTGCCCCCACTCCGTGCGGCTGCGGCCTCAGCACCTCACTTCTCCGTGCTCCGTTTATAATGTGGAGATGAGCACAGTGCTGGCACACGTGGGGAGCAGGGCACCTCCTGTTCCTCCCCTGCCCCGCCCCTCTAAGGCTGCCAAGCACCTGATGGGATTAGCAGGCTTACGGGGCCAACAACCTGCAAGGGCAGGCACGGATGCGGCTCTGTGGGGTTGGGGCTCTGCAGACTCCATGCTTTTGGGGGGCTCCCTTGCTCTCTGGGCTCGATGGCAGAGGCTGCGGCCTGGGAAGGCAGTGGGCAGGGTGGGTATTGCAGCCAGCGGCAGTGAGGGCCACGGGGGATGGGAGAAAGGTCCAGAAACATGCAGCCCAGGGGAGAGGCCAAATGGGGTGACATAGGCAGGACTCAGTCTCACCCCCAATCAGGGACAAGGGGTCCCATACTCCCGATTCTGAGCACGCCATGTAGGCAAATCCACTTCTCTGGGGACTGATGGGAACCACCCCCCTCTATTGTACATCCACTGAGTGACAGGACTACTGCCCACCTGGGCAACTCTGGCGGGTACCCAGCGACCAAAGGGACCTGCCTTGAGCTGCCACCCTGAGCCGTGCCACGCCCTCCCCCAGGTCCTGCTCCAGCTCCGGGAGACAGAGGCGCTGCAGACCCAGTACGAGCAGCTGGCGGCGGACCTGCTACGCTGGATCGCAGAGAAGCAGGTGCAGCTGGAGGCGCCCGGGCTGCCAGACTCGCTGCCTGCTATACGGCAGCTGCTGGCGGCCTTTGCCTCCTTCCGCACCCGGGAGAAGCCCCCTCGGCTCCAGCAGCGAGGGAGCCTTGAGGCCCTGCTCTTCCAGTTGCAGACAGCACTTCGAGCCCAGCACCGCCGGCCCTTCCTGCCTCCTGAGGGCCTGGGCACTGCAGAGTTGGCCCAGCGCTGGGCAGGGCTGGAGCGGGCAGAGGCTGCTCGGAGCCAGGCCCTGCAGCAGAGGCTGCTGCAGCTGGAGCGCCTGGAAACGCTGGCCCGGCGCTTCCAGCACAAGGCGGCCCTCCGGGAGAGTTTTCTAAAGGACGCGGAGCAGGAGCTGGACCGGGCCATGTCCCCGCTGGCCAGCCCAGCCACAGCGGAGGTGGCCACCCAGAGGCTGGGCATGCTGGAGGCTGGCATCCTGGCCCAGGAGGGGCGCTTCCGGGCCCTGGCCGAGCTCACGGACATCCTCCGGCAGGAGCGCTACCACAGCTGGGCAGATGTGGCCCACAGGTGAGCCCCAGGCCTGTAAGCCATCCTCACGACAGGGTCAGGCCTTCCTCCCGCACCCCTCTTCTGGCCACAGAAGACACGGATGATTTATGGATTCGGGGCTTTCTTTGTGAAGAGACCGATCTCCCCTGAGGCATGGAATTCCCTCATCCTCCCTGTGGATCATGCACCATTCTTTTGGGGGAGCCACTTGGTCATTCCTTCACCACACAGGCATTTATTGCGTTGTCTGCTGTGTCCCCCGTGCTGTCCTTGGTGCTGGAGACTTAGCAGGGAAAAGGACACACAAGCTTCCTTCACGAAGCTGGCATACTACCCAGACACTTGAGAAAAGCTGTGTGAGGGAGTGACAAGAAGTATTAACAGGAGAGGCGGGCATTGCTGCCAGCTGGGATGTCTGCTTCCTCTCTCCCATTGCCGGTTCAAGTCCTGGCCCCGGCTGTTCCACTTCCCATCCAGCTTTGTGCCTGAGAGGCAGGAGATGATGGCTCAGGTGTTAGAGCTCTGCAGACTGCCACATGGGAGACCAGGATGCAGCTGGCTCCTGGCTTCAGCCTCAGGCAGCTCTGGCTATTGTGGGCACTTGGGGGAGTGGACCAGCATCTGGAAGATCTCTGTCTATCTGTCTCTGTCTCTCTATTGCTGTGGGGACTGTGATGGCTCAAGCTGGGGGAGAGGAACAGGCTAAGCCTGGGCAACCAGAAGAGACTCACTGGGAAGTTGACTTTTGTGTGAAAACCAGAGAGAAGCGAGGGGCTGGCCATGCAGATGTTGGGGGGGGAAGGGTTCTCATCGGGGCAGTGGATGACCAGGACAGTGCTCCACGGCAGGCACCTGCCTGGCAAATTTGAAAAAATGACAGAGAAGCCAGTACAGGCCAAAGCAAAGATGGCCAGGATGGAGTGGAGCCCAGGGGCGGGGGTGGAGGTCATGCCGGGCCTTACAGAGTGCAGGAAAGAGGTGGTTGGTCTTGTTTAAATTTGTGAGGCAGAGAGCTCCCATCTGCTGGTGCACTTCCCCAGACGCCTGCATTAGCTGGGGCTGGGCCAAAGCAAAGAGCTAAAGATCAATCCATGTCCCCAAGGTGGGTGGTAGGAACCCCACCACTGGAGCTACCACCGCTGCCTCCCGGGGCGTGTGCAGGCACTCTGGGAGACACAGGCATCCCAACCAGTGCTGAACAACCAGGCCGAACTCCCATCCCAGGCTTGGTGTTCACTCACAGAAAGATGGGGCACCACCGGGAGGCGTGGCAGGGGAGTGACAAGATCTGACTTTGGTTTTGGGGCGATCACTAGGTTGCCTTGTAGGGAACAGACCGAGGGTGGAGGAAGCAGAGAGGCCAACACCAAAGTCATGGCAATACTCCGGGAGGGGAAGCAGCGGGATTCGAGTTAGCACCATGAAAGTAGCCAGCTAGGATCTGCGGACGGATCAGAACCGGGGCTGAGGAACTGTGTTGTGGCGATTTCAGTTTGGGCCCCTGGAAGGCACTAGGGAGGAGGGTGGGGGCCCCCGATGGCCTGAACCTTCTAGGCCATCCTTCCGGCTTGCCTGCCTGGGCCCATGCACAGGACACACAGGGAGGCTCACGTCCACAGACACTGCCCCCCAACAGAGGAGAGCCCTCCACTGCAGACAAGCCCAGTAGGAACCAGCCAGGGACCCAAAGTGATTCCCAGTGCAGCAGAAGCCACCCTTATCCTGCGTCTTCCAGGCAAGAGGAGCTCACCAGGCGCTGGCAGAGGCTCCTCCAGAGCCTGCAGGGGCAGAGGAAGCAGGTGGCGGGCCTGCCGGCCGTGCTGGGCCTGCTGCGGGAGGCGGAGGCTGCCTCGGACCAGCTGGAGGAGCTGCAGGTGGGCACTGGAGCAGCTGACCTCGGGGGAACGCGGCAGGGTGGGGGACGTCACGCACAGGCACCACAGCGACCCTCATCTCCGGCTAGGTGCCAGCCAGCTCCCAGGCCTGCGGGCAGCAGCTGGCAGAGGTGGTGGAGCTGCTGCGGAGGCACGAGCTGCTGGAGGCCCAGGTCTCCGCCCTCGGCGCCCATGTGAGCCACCTTGCCCACCAGACCTCCGGGCTGGCCCGCTCCCTGGGCACCAGCGTGGAGACGCTGCAGGCCAAGGCCAGGGCCCTGGGCCAGCTGCACCAGCACGTGGTGTCTCTCATCAGGGCCCGGTAAGACGCCCATCTCCACCTTCTCCAGAACCTTTGTCACCCAATGCATCTCCTGCCCAGGTGGCCTGGCAACTCCCTCGCCCCCAGGCTTCTGTCTTCCCCGTTGAGTCAGCCACGGAAGAGACCTCCTGTCTGCGGGCGGGTCTGACCCTGCCGGGGAAGGCCCCGCCCCCTGCCCCAAGCCCCTGTGGCCCTTGCTGTCCCTCAGGCGGGCCCTGCTAAAGCGGGCCCTGCAGCGGGCCGAGTTCCTGCGCGACTGTGAGGAGGAGGAGGCCTGGCTGGCGGAGCGAAGGCAGCAGGTGGAGACTGAGGCCCCGGGCCGGGATCCCCGCCGCATCGCAGGAGCCCTGCAGAAACACAAGGTGCCCGCTCGCTCGCGCCCCACGCCTGCCTCAGGACCCCAGCCGCTCCCCTTTCCTTTCCCTCACTGAGCCCCTCGCTCCGCCCTCCACTAGGCCCTGGAAGCCGACCTCCGCCGCCACCAGGCGGTGTGCTCCGACCTCGTGCAGAGGGGGCGCGATCTCAGCGCCCACGGGCCGCCTACACAGCCGGAGCCCCGGGAGCGGGCGGAGGCCGTGCAGGGCGCGTCGCAGCAGCTCCGGGCCTGGTCTGAGAGGCGGGGCGCGCGGCTGCAGGCGACCCTGCTAGTGGCACAGGTAGCTCTCTGCGAGGCGCGGCTGCGGGGCGGGGCTTCGGGTGAGGCTGTGGCTCCCTAGCGCTCAGCACCGCCCTGCCCTGCCCCTCCCCGCCCCTCCCCGCCCTGCCCTGCCCCGCAGTACCTGGCGGACGCCGCAGACGCTGCGTCCTGGCTCCGCGAGCAGCGGTCGTCTCTGGAGTACGAGTTGTGCGGAGAGGACCCGGCGGCTGCCGAGGGCTTGCTGCTGCAACACGTGCGGCTGGAGCGCTCCGTGCGCGCCTTCGCGGCCGAGCTGCAGCGGCTGGACGAGCAGGCGCGGATGGCCGCGGCCCGGGCGCCACTCACGGTGCGAGCCGGGACAGGGAAGGGACCCAGGCTTCCAGCTCCTGACGCCTCTAGGTCCCAGAGAGGGCGTAAATGGAAGGGTCTCCATGCCCCCTGTCCCTCCCATCCACAGCCCTGAGGTGGGGGACCCTGCTTACCCACGCGAGTCAAGGTCATCCAGGAGTGGCAGGTTCCTCCAGGAATGTCCCCTCACCTTCCCCGTGAGATCTCGGTGATGTTAGCTTCCGCCTGACTTAACCCTTGTGGGTTTAGGGAGGCAGAAGCACGACCCCCAAAGCCCCTCTTTCAGTTTTTTGAGCCCCAGTTTATTTTTAATTTTCAAATATTTATTTAAGTTAGAGTGATAGAAGGAGAGACAGAGGTCTTCCTTCCATCCACTGTTTCTGACTCCCCTAATGCCTGCAACAACCAGGGCCGGGCCAGGCTGGAGCGGGGGGCCAGGACCTCCATCGGTGTCTCCCATGTGGGTGGCAGGACCGAGCACCTGGCCATCACCTGCTGCCTCCCAGGTGCTTTTGCACGAGGCTGGATGGGAAGTGTGAAGTAGCCAAGACTGAAGCCAGGCAGTGTAGATGGGGACGCAGGGGTGACAAGCTGGGACTTAACCTGCTGACGCACCCGCCAGCCCCTGAGCCCCCAGTTTGTAAGAGCACGTGTGCCGTAGGCGGCTGGGTGCTGCTGCCTCTCGTGGAGCTGTGTAAGTGGCCCAGATGTGGAAACCAAGGCCCTGCGACCCGTCACTCACATGGGCTCCTCCACGTCCCGGGTCTTCCTCTGCCCAGCCATGGCCAGACACCACCTGAGCTGCAGCTCGGGGCCTCCGGATCTTAGAGGCGCCCTGGCCAGTAGCTGTGGCTTGCTGCGGCCTGGACCACTGCATTCTGCCCCCAGCCAGCACTGACCAGCCAGGTCCGGGTTGGAAAGGTCTAGAGGTTCACTTGGTCCAGAGCCATCTCTCCCTTTTCCTCTGTATTTGTTCTGGGGCTCATGTAATTAACAACTTAGCAACCCCCTCGCTTTACAGATGAAATAAGCAAGGCTCAGAGTGGCCTGGGTACTGCCCGAGGATGTGCAGTTATGGCTGCCGGGGAGGGCCGCTGACTCCCGGCCCCACCCCACCCTGCACTCCTTGACATGCGCAGCCCCTTCCACCACACTGACACGTGGCGCCTGCGGTGGGACCGAGACAGTGGCTCATTCGTGTCCCGTGCATTCTGCGTCTCCAGCTGGAGTTTGTTCTTTCAGGGAGGGAAGGGGAGGTGCCTCGTCCTCCTCTGCTGTCCTCTACATCCCAGCTGGCACTGGCAATGACGGAGGGGTGCAGAGGGGTGTGTCCCTCGCTGGGGGTGGGGAGCCACTTTATCAGGTAAGCAGGGTCTCTCCTCCTCCAAACAGGAGGAGCCCTCTGAAGGCTGGAGCAGCACCGCTGGGGATGCAACTGGGACACCCCAGGATGTCCCCCAAATCGTCACAGTGCCAGGTAACCAGCACTCACGTCTCCAGGTCTGGATGCCGAGGGACAAGGTCAGGACCCCAAGCAGGAGCCTTAATGGGCTGTGCTGAATGAAGGGGTTAAGTGCATTCTGTGCGGTCTCCAGGGGATCCAGTGACTGAAGGGAAAAAAAATGAGAGCCCAAATTGTGCTCTGCAGAAAAGGGGCCTGAGAGCCACCCAGAGGGAGCCTGGGCTGCTCTGGGGACGGAGTCGCTGTTAGCAGACAGCCGTGGGGGAAAGCGTAGATGAGAGGGTCGCGTGAGCCTTGTTCTCTGGGTCATCCTCCGGCCTCTGTTCCCCCGCTTCCCCCTTCTCCCCTCTGCCTTTTCTTTGTCCTGTCCCCTCCACTCAAGCCTGAGCAGGCGGGGCTGAGCTGCTACTGCTTTCTGACCCTGCCCGGGAGAGCCGGTGCCTTCTCAACCCCTCTCTGCCCCAGCCCCTGCAGCCACAGCCTCTGGCCCCTCCCCTCTGCAGATGCTACCCCTCTGGCAGAGACCCTGAGGCCCCGCCTTGTCCCTGTAAGGTTTTTTTTTTTTTTTTTTAAGATTTATTTATTTATTCGAAAGTCAGAGTTACAGTGAGAGAGAGAGGTCTTCCATCCACTGGTTCACTCCCAAATGGCCTCAACGGCCAGAGCTGGGCCGATCTGAAGCCAGGAGCTTCTTCCAGGTCTCCCACATAGGTGCAGGCCCCAGGTGTTTGGGCCATCTTCCCTGCTTTCCCAGGCTCATTAGCAGAGAACTGGATGGGAAGTGGAGCAGCAGGGACTCGAACCAGCACCCACACGGGATGCCAACACTGCAGGAGGCAGCTTTACCCGCTACGCCGCAGTGCCAGCTCCCGCTATGACGTTCTGCAGCAGCTGCAGACCACCTGGGCCTGTTGGTCCCCTGGACACCTGTGCTGTTGACGTCACTGTGCCCCGTCCCCCTTGTCCATGGACAGTCCTGGGTGGCGTCCTGCCTGCTCTGCGTCTCAGAGCCTCATGGTCCTCAGAGGACTAGAAGCTAGCCCTGGTCCTTCTAGCGCGCCCAGGACTGGGCATGGGGAAGCACTTGCGATAAAGGAGCCCCCTCCCTGTCCCCACAGGGACACACTTCACCTGGCTCCCAGGGCAGGCCCTGGACACCTGGGAGCTGAAGGACCAGGCGGGCGGCCAGGATAAGGAGCCCGTGGGCCGCGTCATGGAGCAGGAGCCGCAGGTACAGCTGCCAGCCCCTCCTTGCTAAGGCCTCTACTGCAGGTGGGAGCCCCTACAGACACCCTGCCCTCTCTGCACAGGTGCTGTCTGCCCTGAACCCACTGGGAGAAGGCCCCAGGGGCCAGGGGGCCTGGAGGGAGGCTTCCCGCCTCTCTGGCCCTGGCACCACCTGGAAGACAGCCCCCCCAGCCGAGCCAGACCTCTACTTTGACCCCACCACCATACTCCAGACACAGGAGCGCTTGAGCCAAGACTATGAGGACCTGCGGGCCCTGGCAGAGGTGACACTCCTTGCTAGGGAAATGTTCATCAGGCACCCACCCTGGACCCCCTCAATCCCAGGGGACAGAGCAACGACTGGCCTGCTGCCTGCACTTGGGGGGCTTCTGACATGGCCAACAGATGTCAAACACACCATTAAGTGGTGCAGGTGTGATCAGAGCCCGGGGGATGGTAGCACAGGTGAGGCCTGCACGGGGTGGGGGAGGGGCAGGGAAGGCCCCAGGAGCCGACTGAGGCTTGAACAAGAAGCAGGGAGCAGGCAGAGCCAGGGGAGCAGCCAGGGGCAGGAAAGAGCCCGAGGGAGCAGTCGGAGGCCCGGCTGCCCAGAGCACAGGGGCTGGAGGCCAGGGTGGAAGAGAGCCCCGAGGGGCAGCGCCAGGGCCCCCAGAGGCGCGTGGGCTTCCCCTGCTCTCTGGGCTGGGGAGAACAGACTCCGCCTCTGACAGACAGAGACGCCCTTCGGGCCCTGGCCCATGCGCTGCTGCTGGGGTGGGGTGGGAAGGACGCCCCCCACCCCTGGGCAGGACCTGCCCTCATCACCCTGTGAGAGGCCCCCGACCCTCAGCCCTGCCCTGTCCACCTCTGCTCAGCGCCACAGGGCTCGGCTGGAGGAGGCGGCTGCCCTATTTGGCTTCTACAGCTCCTGCAGGGAGCACCAGGCCTGGCTGCAGGAGCAGGTGGCGCTGTTCTCCACGCTGCAGCCCGGGGCCCACGACATGAAGGCCACGCAGCTCAGATACGAGGTACAGCCCCAGAGCCTGGCAGTCGTGGACACCTGGCCCCTGCTCCTCTTGCTCCCACCTCCTTATCGCTCCCTGCAGTGCCTCATTCCTCCCTATTGTCTGCAGCCTGTCGGGAGGGAAACAGGGCAGCTGGCTTCAATTCTATCTATCTGAGAGACAGAGAGCTCCCACCTGCTGCTTCACTCCCCGCACGCTTGCAACAGCTGCGACTGGGCCAGGCTGAACCAGGAACCCAGGCAGGGTCTCCCTCATGGGTGGCAGGGACCCAGTCACTTGGGCATCACCCTTGCTTCCCAGGGTCACCTTAGCTGGAGCTGGGGTATGGAACCCAGGCACTCGGATATGAGACACGGACATCCTCACCACTAGGCTGCCTGGCCTGGATGTTGAGTCTCTTTGGTGCTTTGGGGCCCCGGGCGCCTGTCCTTGCAGCAGCGGGCATGTGCAGGGCCCTCCACAGTCCCAAGGGGCGTGAGGAAGAGAAAGACCCCCCACCAAGCCCTGGGTCCTCCTTTCCCCAGAACCTCCTTGCTGCCCTGGCTATGGGGAAGGGCCCCTGGGCTGAGCTCAGCCGCCTGGCTCAACACCTGATGCAGAGATGTCCTGGGAACTCCCCCCAGATCCAGCAACGGCAGGAGGATCTGAGCCAGAGGTGAGAGTGAGCAGCAAGGGCCTGGCTGGGCCTGCGGGGCCAGGTGCACAGGCTGGACACGACAGAGCCCAGGGAGGGGCCGGGGCGGGGCCGGGGCGGGCCAGTGCAGCAGCTTCCATCACGTGAGGCTCTGGCCCAGGCCCCAGGACGGGGTGGGGGTGGGGGGGGACGTGACCCTGTCATAGAGACAGCCCTGTGTCCTCTGCCCAGGTGGGGGCAGCTGGAGGCCCTGAAGAAGGAGAAGGGCTGGGAGCTGGCACGTGGCCTGGAGGTGCGCAGCTTCCTGCAGGAGCACGGGCCCCTCCAGCTGCAGCTGCAAGACCTGATGCGCCAGCTGGAGCCAGGGAGCCCCGAGGACAGCCGCCGCGCTCTGCAGCTGGCCCTGCAGAGCCTCCCAGGGCTGGAGAGGAGGATCCACTCCCTCCGAAGGACGGCCCGCAGGTCCGGCCTGAGTTCAGCCTGGTGGCGGTGCCCTGGGGGACAGTGAAGGCAGAGGGGAGGCCTGAGCGGGGGACGTGGTAGGGAGGGGGACAGATCTGAGATGCACTCATCGTGGGTGGATGTGTTGACAAGGACCTGGGCAGGGGTGGGACAGTAAGTGTGAGAAAACACTCATGGGCAGAGGGGCCACATGCCCAGGCTCCTCCTAGGTCAAGAGTGGGTGGCATTTGGGGTCACCGTCACCTTCCTTGGAAACCCAGGCCTACCAGAGAACACACACCTGGGAGCCGGCCCAGGGAGGGTGCTGACTGCGTGGGGCTTGTCTTGCAGGCTGGAGGACTTGGGCCCCGTGGAGAACCAGGAGCTGCTGGAGACGCTGCAGGGGCTGCTGGAGCGAGTGCAGGCGCAGGTGGCCCAACAGGTGCAGGGCCAGGCCGAGGCTCGGGCCCGGCAGAGCTTCCTGCAGGAGAGCCGGCAGCTGCTGCGGTGGGCAGAGAGCGTCCAGGCCCAGCTGTGCCGTGCGGAGGAGCTGGCGGACGAGGCGTCGGCCCAGCGACTGCTGGGGCAGCACCGAGCCCTGCTGGAGGAGATCCGCCTGTGGCAGGAGAGGTCGGGACAGGAGGGCAGGCAGGGTTTACTTGGGGCTGGGCCGGGGCTGAGGGGTTCAGGTCGAGAGGAAGTGGCCCAGGCCGGGGTGTCCCGCGTGGTACTTAAGGCTGGATAAAGAAGGGGTGTGGTCTAAGCCTGGACCAGGCAGCACGTAACACCTTGGGGAGAGTCTTGGGGTACTGAGCTTCCTGGGAAGCTCTACCTAGTGCAGGCCTGGCTGTACCCCACTGTAAGCCTGAAGACTGCTTCCGGACAGCCCCCCACCCCTGGCTAACACAGACTCCACAGTCCCCGGAATGAGTGGCTCAGGATTCATCCCCGGCACTAAGGTGCCCACCTCCCCAGTGTTCTGCACACGGCCCCGTGGAGGGAGCTGCCAGCCGGCCCAGCGGGCACTGGACCCCAGCCCGTCCTCGGCTTTCGGGTCTCTCCTGCCCGGCTCGGGGCTCGAGCAGCTCTGAGGAAGCAGAGGCTTCTTCTCATTCACACGGCGGCGTGGCTGTGCGGGCTGCACCTGGCTGGATGGTTCACCTTTTCTAACGGTTCAAAGACTCCGAGCGAGCTGGCGGTGGCCCTGGAGCAGGATGGCACTTGTGGCTTGAACGACATTGCCGTGTTGAGCCCTGCTGCCCATGCGTCCCCCTGCCCGTGCGCCCCCCGCCCGTGCACTGCCAGTCCACGCTGACAGGAAGGCCAGCCAGAGCAAGAGTGTGACTTGGTGGGGAGCATGGGAACTCTTGGGTCTTAAGTACTGTGCTGTGCCTGTCATGTTCCGTGTCTCATCCGTGGTCCCCTGGGACAAGGGAACCAACCAGACTAACCAGCCCCCACCCCTCCTGCCAGCTGCCCTCACGTAGCGCTCCAAGGTGAATGAACCCTGGCCAGGGGAGCCCTGTGGGCTTGACCCTCTGCTTGTCACCCTGCACAGGCTGCAGCGGCTGGAGGCTCAGGGCCAGCCTCTGGCAGCCTGGGACTCCCCCAACTCCCAGGAGGTAGCCAGTGCCCTGAGGCTCCTTCGCCAGCACAGCCGGGAGCTGGAGGCCGCGTGGGAGCAGAGACAGCAGCGGCTGCAGGAAGGGCTGGAACTGCAGAGGTTGGGCCGTGAACTGGATGGTTTTGCTGCTACCTGCACCAACCACGAGGCCTTCCTGAGCCTGGAAAACCTTGGGGTATGGAGCCGGGGACGTGAAGCTGGAGGGCGCTCATCCTCTTGGGTGCAGAAGCCAGGCTGGCACAGTGGCGGGTGAGACGGTGCTGCCCTCCCCATCCTGCCAGGCGTGACCTTGGGCCTCTGCTCCCACAGGGGGACGTGAGGGCGGCCCAGAGCCTCCTGCAGCAGCACCGGCAGTTTGAGTGGCTCCTCGGCACCCTGGGCCTTCGGGTGGAGGCCCTGACCGCCCGTGGCAAGAAGCTGGTTTGGAGCCCGCAGCCTGCTGCACACAAGTGAGTCCGAGTCCACAGCACTGCAGCCCTGTCCCCAGCCTGCACAGGGGGGTTGGGGAGGTGCAGGGGGTGCTCCTTGGGCTGGGCCCTCCTCCATCCTCCCTCCTCCCAACCAGGGTCGGAGAGCAGCTGCAGATTGTGCAGGCCCAGTGGGCCAGGATCCAGGAGAGGAGTGAGCAGAGGCGGCAGCAGCTGCTGGCTTCACTCCAGCTCCAGGTGAGGCGCTGGCCCCAAGCGGGGTGGTGGGGGTGGTGTGTGTCAAGGTAGGAGGAGCACCTGTCGGCGTGGTGAGACTCGGGGATGTGGTCCAGTTCAACCCACCCCTGATGGCATTGGCCCTTGCCACTCCTCTAGTGAGGCAGACGTGACTGTTCTGGTCTTTCCTGCTAAGGAAAAGGGGCTGTGGCTACACCATTTACAAGAACCAGGCCTGTCCACCAGCCCTGCGCTTTCTGCCCCCTGCCTGGCTTCTGGCCAATCTTGAGGACACAGCATGGCGCTGGGCACCAGCCACAGTCCTCAGATCCTTGTGTGTTTGCTGAGCCCAGAGCAGCCCTGGGCCAGGCCGCCCCAGGCCCTGCAGAGAGCTGCCCACAGGCAACCTGCTTTAGGCTGGAGGAGCTGGGCCGGCAGGTGCTCCTCCTCGCTGGACAGTGTCCCTGTCCCCATTTGGGGAACAGGAACCTCAGCATCCCAGGATTGGCCCTGGCTCCTCCTCTTCCCCTCTCCCTGGAGGGGGTCCTTGCCCCAGCCCTGGTCCTTGGGCCAGGAGGCCCACTCTGTGGTGCTCGGCAGGAGTGGAAGCGGGACGTGGCGGAGCTGGCGCTGTGGATGGAGGAGAAGGAGCTGATGGTGGCAGAGGGGCCCTGTCCAGGCCCCAGCAACATCCTGCGTAAACTCATGCGGCACGCAGTGGCTGAGAGCGAGCTGAGGGCCTCCCACGGGCACGTGGAACACCTGCAGCAGGTGGGGGGGCAGGGGGCGGGGCCTGCTCACTTTCAAATTCCCAACCCTCATTGTACCAGATGGCACAGGCGCTGAGGGGAGAACCAACTCCAGTTCCCGTGGCGTCAGGGGTCGCAGCCAGAAAGCTCCGGCGTGCCTGCCCCTCAGGCCACTAGCACAGCTCCAGCACAGAGCTCTTCCCCACCGTCCACCCACCCAGTGCCTGCCTCTGGGGACGCCCTCCTGCCCTGCCCACCTCTGCAACATGTACATGGTCCCCACAGCCCAGCCAAGTGCCCTGGGCCTCTGTCTGCATTGCAGGTCGGGAGGGAGCTGTCGGGCAGCCAGCCCCAGGCCCGGGAGGACATCCAGGCCAGGCTCCGGAGCCTGAGCAGCCGATGGGAAGAGCTGAATCACAAGACGGCGCAGCGCTGGGACCAGCTCCAGCAGGCTAGACGGCAGGACCAGCTCCTCAGGCTGTTGCAGGTTCCCTGGGGAGCGGGTGGGGCCCAGGAAGGATCGGGAGGCTGAGCTAGGAGACAGGAGGGCGGGGGTCCAGGTGTCTGCTGCCACTGGAGTGGCCTGCAGCCTTCAGGGACCCCTGGCCTGCCGCAAGTCAGGCAGGGCTCTGCCCACCCCCCGCCATGGCCAGCCCAGGCTATCTCCTGTGTGCCCAGCATGTGGTCAGCACGATCTGCACCCCCTGAGCAGGAAGAAGCACGAGGGGCCCTGAGAAGATTGGGGGTTGGCAGCAGTGGGTGAACCTGCTGCTACCCTGCAGTCCTAGAGTGCTGTCCCTCTGTCCCTCCCCAGGAGGCCAAGGAGAAGATGGAGCAGCTAGAGGGGGCCCAGCAGGACGCAGAAGCCAGGCAGGACCCGGGCTGGAGCCGGCAGCTGCAGAGACGGCTCTGCCAACTGGAGGCCAAGGGCCAGGTGCTGGCTGGCAAGATGGCTGCCCTCTGCTCCCAGGCACACGGCACGGGCACTTCCCAGAGCATCCTGGACGAGACCCAGCGATGCCTGCAGAGGTGGGGCCCTGGCCACGCTCACCCCTGGGGTGCCCGGCCCTCCTCCCCTGTGCGCAGAGCCATCCCGGGGCAGGAGGGCTAGGTGTGGGCTGCCTCCTGGGCAGGGCCCCACCACCTGAAGACAGGTGGGGCCCCGGTGCCTGCAGCTGCCTCCCCCAAGCCTATCAGGGCTCCCTGTGTGCTTCTACCTTGTTCCTCACGGGTTCCTGGCTGGGGCCAGGAAGGGAACACCTGCCTTGTTCTCCCCATCCCCAACTCTCCCACTCTTCTCCCCCGACCCAGGTTCCAGTCCCTGCAGGGACACCTGGCCGCCCAGCGCCTGCAGCTGCAGGCCTCAGCTGAGCTGTGCCAGTTCTACCAGCTGAGCCAGGCAGAGCTCTCATGGGTGGCTGAGCACATGCCCAGTGCCGGCCCCAGCAGCCCCACCAAGTGCTGGGACAGTGTCCAGAGCCTTTACCACAAGCACAAGGTAGCGCCCCTTCCTCTCCGAGCATCCCTGATGTCGCATTCCCAGACCCTGGGCACCCTTTGCCGCCATTCAGGGTGTCCTGGTTTCCAAATCTCTGCCCCTGGGGGTCTTGCCATGGTGTGGGGCCTGGAGCTCTGTCAGCAGCTTTGCTCTGGACGCCCCATGGTTAAGGGACCCCCCCAGGGGCAGCAGTTGTCCTACTGCTCTGTGCAGGAGCTGCAGGCCGAGCTGAACGCTCACCAGGGGCAGACGCAGCGGGTGCTGTGTTCTGGGCAGAGCCTGGCAGCCTCGGGGCACCCCAGCGCCCAGCACTTGGCCGAGCAGTGCCAGAAGCTGGAAGGCCGCTGGGCGGAGCTGCAACAGGCGTGCGCGGCGCAGGCGTGGAGGCTGCAGCAGGCCGTGGCCGTCCAGCAGGTGGGCTGCAGGGAGCGCAGGCTCTGCGAGGGGAGCTGTGGACCCCACTGGTCCCCGTGTGGGCACACAAGCCTCCTGTGTGGGGAGCAACGTTGGGGTGCGGAGAGGGTCCGGTCAGAGATGGCCGAGGTGAGTCGGCCCCGTTCTCGGCAGTACATTCTGGAAGCGTCGGAGCTGGAGGCGTGGCTGGAAGAGAAGCGGCCGCTGGTGAGCAGCGAGGACTGCGGTGCAGACGAGGCTGCGACCTTGAGGCTCATTAGGAAGCACCAGGTACTGCGTCCTGAGCGTCACCACGCGGGGTGGACTTGGGTCACAGGGGACGACAACCAGAGGGTCGGTCACACTCCCAAGAGTATGTCCTGCTTCTCAGCGGCCAGCACCCCGAGGTCACGGCCAGCTACGTCCCCACGGCCACCGGGTCCTGTGGTGCCCTCCTCTGTCCCGGCCGCCCCAGGCTCTCTGCCTTTCCTGCCTCCCCTGGCTTCCTCTCCCCCGGTCACCCGCCCCGGCCTCTCCCTGCCTCCCAGCCTGGCATGGCATCCTCTGAGCCAGCCAAGTGCTCCTGAAACCTCCCCCCCCCGCCCCGATGAGGGTTCCCTGGCTACAGTGGGGCCTGGGGGCCCCTTCCTCATGCCTAGAACTGGTATCAGGGCCACACAGGCTCACGCAGGACCCTGCAGTGTCCTGGTTCTGTTGTCACTGACGTAACCTCCTGTCGGGGCGTGTTTTGGGCCAAGCCCTGGTGGTCTGTGTTCCCGCGTGCCCTGCAGGGAGCCACGCGCCTTGTGGAACCTCCCTGTCCCAGCCCACTGGGCAGCTTACTTCATTCTGTCCATCTCTTACACTTTGGTGTTGGGGTTCAGTCTAATGCGCTCTGTAAACCCCCTTCCACGGCCCAGACTCCTCCATTCAGTGTTCCCTGATGAACAGCAGGTGATCCGAGGGCACAGATAAGTGCCTGGGTGGGTGGGTGGATTGGGGACAGGTGGATGGATGTGTGAATGGATGAGTGGACTGGAGGATGCGTGGCTGGGTGGGTGGGTGGATGATGGGTGGAGAAGAGATGGGGGTGGAGAGGCGGGAGATGGATGGATGGGTGAAGGAGCCACTGGTCTGCGCCTGGCCCGGCGCCCTGTGCCTGCAGGTGCTGCAGCAGGACCTAGCTCTTCGCTGGCGCTCCATGGAGGAGCTTGGCCAGAGGGCCCAAACCCTCACTGGCCCTGCGGCCCCTGAGCAGCTGCGCGGCGTGCAGGAACAGCTCCAGGAGCGGCTGCAGGCACTGCAGGCGATGGCAGCCACACGGTGAGGGGTGTTGCATTCCCATACCTTGGCCTAAGTTGGGAGAAAGCCATGGCTCCGGCCAAGCCCATGGGGCTGGGTCAGGAGAGGGCTGAGGGCCGAGACTGCTGTATGTCACCCTCTTTCTCCAAGTCCCTTCAGGGAGGCCCCGCTCCCAGGCCTCGTCTCCCCATCCGCTCTCTCCCCTCCCCATGTCCACTTCTCCCTGAGTGCTGAGCCACGGGCTTGGACGAAGACCTGAATGACCCCATCCTTTAGGGGAGCCCTGTGATGGCCAGGCTGTCCCGAGAGGGTTGGCACGCTAACTTCTGGGGATGGGCGGTCACTGCAGGAGCCGGGAGCTGGAGGGGACGCTGAGGCTGCACAAGTACACGCGGGAGGCCCAGGACCTGCACAGCTGGCTGGCCGGCCGGAAGCAGGCGGTCCTGGCAGAGGCGAGCCCAGGAGAGGACAAGGAGGAGGTCATGGTGAGAAGAGGCCGGGGTGGGGGATGTGCTGGGGCCGCCCTGCCAGGCCGTGTGAAACTGGTGGTGGCTGGGGGCACCCCACTGCATAGAGGGGCGGGCACCATGGCAGCCCCCACCCCATGCAGTCCCGTGAGCCCCTGGGGTGTCTTGCTTCCCAGCCGGGGTCGCCCTGTCACCCAGGCTGTTCTTCACAGCACCTCCGCACCAGGTTTGTGACATTTCAGCACCAGGTGGAGATGGCCGGCCAGCAGGTGGCCGCCTGCCAGCAGTGGGCCGAGAGCCTGCTGCAGCAGGGGCCCCGCGCTGTGCCCTGGGCCCAGCAGAAGCAGCAGGATCTGCAGTGAGTATGGGGCCTGGCCAGCGGGCAGCTCTGGGGGAGGAAGCTGGTCAGGTGGGGCTAGCCTGTGAGGACAGGGTGACAGCTCCAAGCACCCTGGGCAGGACTAGGGCCTCCCATGAGTCCCCCCACCTCCCACACTGGATGCAGCCCTTGCCCCATTCCCAGCTGCCTCCCTTGGCCAGTGTGGACCCACACTCCGGCCCATGAGCTTGGGGCATGGTCACGACTTGTCCGTAACCGTAGCACAGGCACAGGCTGGCGGAAGTCTTAGCAGCCGGCTGAGTTTGCTGTGTAAAGGAAAGGAGAGAGGTGGCCTCCACCCTGAGGCTCTGTCGCCGGCTGAGACCGGGAATCCGCCGTGCCAGGCGCCAGCAGTGTCACAGAGCAGAGGGGCCGTGCGGGGCTGCGCATCACAGCAGCAGAGGAGCAAGTCCCTAGGGAGGGGCAGGCAGGGCCCAGCTGGCAGAGGCTGCGGAGGGGCAGACTCCTGCGGAGCCTGGGACCCAGGGACAACGCCGAGCACCGAGCGCCGAGCGGAGGCCCGCCCAGACCTGGCAAAGGGGCACGAGAGGCTGGGGGGCTGATCCCTGCTCGCCCTCCACGTGCTGCTGTCAGGGCCTCCTGGTCCGAGCTGTGGGAGCTGAGCCAGGCCCGAGGCCGCCTGCTCCGAGACGCCGAAGCCGCCGTGCAGGTGTACGGAGCCCTGCTCGAAGCCCTCACCCAGGTCCAGGTGGGTGCCCAGGCTGGAGCGGGGATCCCCTGCGGAAGTCGATCAGGCTCTGTGGTCGCCCTCCACTCCTGACCCCTGGGCCCTCTCCTCAGGAGAGAACCACCAGCCTCCCCAGTGATGTGGCCCAGGACGCGCGCGGGGTAGAGGTGCAGCTGAAGCGACACCAGGCACTGGAGCGTGAACTAGAGGCCACTGAGCAGCAGGTGCGCCTCCTGGCTGCCCCCAATCGGGCCCCTCCAGCTGGGCTCAGCTCTTCTCTGCATTTCCCACCGGCCCTCGCCCCCCAGTCAGGGCTGAGTCCCAGGCGTCAGGGTCGGCAAGGGGGTGTGGGCTGGCCCTTCTGCCTCTACGGTGGGACATAAGCCTTCACACCCCATCTGTTCTCTGATCCAGCTGCAGGAACTGCTGGAGACCGGATACAAGGTGCAGAGGCTGTGTGCAGGGCCTCAGGCCCAGGCTGTGCAGCGGGGACAGCGAGCAGTGACCCAGGCCTGGGAGGCCCTGCGGCTGCGTGTGGAGCAGCGCAGGGCCCAACTGGAGTGGGCGTACCTCCTGGCCCGCTTCCAGGCAGCGGTGAGGGCTCCTTCCCCTGGCTGGGGTCCACGTGCACGCCCGTGTGTGCATGTGCGAATGCTCGTGCGTGAGGTCCTGCAGGGAACATTGGGTGTGGCCACATGGTGAAGCGCAGGGGCACAGCCGGCTGTGAGTCCGGCTGGCCAGAGGCCGAGCACAGGGCGAGCCAGTGACTACCTGGCTTTGGGTCACCAGTCCAGGTGAGTGACAGGGCAGTCCCGGGGGATCCCAGGCAGGGCTCAGGAACATGGGCAGCCTACGAAGTCCACAGCTAGAGACACAGATGTTCTAGACATCTACTTTGACATCTGGGTTCGACTCTCTGCTAGGAGCTGTGGGTGGAACGAGGGGTGACCCTGAAACTGTGGAAGATCCAGCCACTGCCTCCATGGAGCCTACCTGTCTGGGCAGATGAGCCAACACCCCAGAGTCAGACGGGGACACTGGGTCCTGGCCATGGGCTGTCCCAGGAGTCGCCACATCCTGGTGCCTGCTGGACCAGGAGGCCCTAACTCTGACTCTGCCTAAAGGCTTGAGGTTAGGGACCCTCTGTGCCGCTTTGTAGCAGAGCGGGCTGGAGCAGGGTGCTTAATCCTCAGCTCGGTTCGCACCTTGGAGTGCAGAACCCTTTCCTGTACGTGCTGCCACTCCCCTCGTCCCTCTGGCGATGCCGGGCTTGGGCACTGTGTGACCATGGGGGACCGCTGGCTGGTGCTGAAGCTGAGTTCAGGGGACGGGGCGGGCAGTGAGGGGTCAAGGACGGGCAAGTCTTCCTGAGGCAGAGGCGGCCTCTGCCGGCCCTCGGAGAGCAGGGGAGTCTTTCCTGCCCCCTCAGGGACTGCTCAGCTGCCCTCGCTGCTGCTGGCGCAGGCCCGTGGGTGAGCTGGGGAGAGGGGGGAAGGAGGCAGAGGAAGAAGGGCCTGGCAGGGAGGGTGCGCGGACCCTGGAGGATTGGGTTGGAAGAGAACAGAGAAACCGGAAGAGCCAGGGCCTGGCTGGCCTCTTCCAGGGCTGTGAGTGGAGTGAGGTGGGCTGTGGCTCTGCCTCCAGCTCCCATTAGGCTCTCGCCTGCCTCCCGGTTCAGGTGCAGGACTACGCCTCCTGGGCAGCCGGGGTGCGGCAGGAACTGCAGGTGGAGGAGAGCGCCCAGGAGCACAGCAGTGGCGCCCTCCAGCTCAGCGCCCACCACCAACTCCGGGCACAGCTGCAGGCCCAGGAGGAGCTGTGGCAGCAGGCTGCTCAGTTGGGCCAGCAGGCTCTGCTGACTGCGGGGACACCTGCCGAGGAGGTGAGTCCCTCTTCTGGTGTCCCCAGCCTGGCCTCCCTGGCCACCTGCTGCCCTTGCCCTGCTGCGCCCTGCTGGCCTGGCTGTCTTTGGGATCTTCTTCCCCTACCCCCGCCCTCCCCGTGTGCCCACCTGCAGGTCCAGGAAGGGCTGCAGGTCCAGGAAGGGCTGCAAGCCCTACAGAACGCGCGGGACCAGGTGTTCCAGGCCTGGGTGTGGAAGCAAGAGAGGCTGCAGGCTGCGCAGGCGGAACAGCGCTTCCTCAGAGCATGCAGCCACCTGGAGAAGGCCCTCACGGCCCAGGAGGCAGGTGCTCTCGCCCCAGCGCGCACAGGCGCACGCGCGCCTCCCGTTCTCCTTCCCCTCCCTCGCTGGCTCTCTGATGTTCTCTGATCTGGAGTACCAGGCATTAGGTGGGGTCTCCTCCCTAACCCCAGCCCAGAGCGAGCCCAGAGGGAGTGGGCCAGGCCTTCAGTGTGCTCCTCTTTGTGCAAGCCCCCACCTCGGTTCCTGTGCACCGCACAGCCTTGTCAGTGCCCCTGCACCAGTCAGGCCCCGTCCCGCCGCAGGCCCCTTGCTCCACCCAGGGGCCCTGCCCCAGCACAGCCCGCTGTGGACACAGGGACTGGCTGGCTGCAGTCCTTGACAGCGTCTGCCTCTCCTGGGGGCGGGTCCAGGCCTCGCTGAGAACCAGTGCCCTGGGGGGCTCCGAGGAAGAAGTAGAGCAATTGATCCGTAGGCACGAGATCTTCCAGAAGGTGCTGAGTGCCCAGGATGCAAAGGTAAGTGGCTGGGAGGGAGGCCTGGGCGTGCTGGGGGGCTAGGGGCAGCACAGTCCCAAGCAGGGGCATGTGGGTGCTTGGTGCCTACCCAGAATCAGTGCTGATACGGCTCAGGAAGAAGGCCCGGGGCTGTGGGCCACACTGCAGGACCACAGCAGGCAGCCGGCTGTCGGCTTCACGTGGCCCCTGGGGAGCAGCCTGGCTCCGGTGTTGCTGGGGCAGTGAGCCGGCCCTAGGCTTACAGGGGCTGAGGGAGGGACTTCAGGCTCCTGGGAGAAGGGGCTGTGTGTGCCGGGGTGGGGGGCGCCCCTGCTGCAGCCCGCAGGGTGGGAGGAGAGCAGGCTGTGGCCCTACCCACAGGAGGCAGCACTCCGGGAGCAGCTGAGCGGGCTCGGCGGGAGCAGCAGGGCACGGGACTGGCTTCACGCAGTGCTGGAGCGGCGTGCCCGAGTGCAGGGCCTGGCGGAGAGCCGGGGCCACGCCCTGCACACCTCGCTGCGGCTCGCCCGCTTGACCGGGGCCATCACCCAGGTCAGAGGCCAGTGGCCCATGCCCTTTACTGCCTGCCCTCTCCCATGCCCCGAGGCCAGGAAGCAAGCCTGCAGGGGTCAGTGGCTCTCCTGCGCCGGGCTGGAGCCCAGGGCTTGGATTCTGAGCCGCGCATGTGCTGACTGCCAGTGGGGCCAGGCCCAAGGGAGGCGGGGAAGCTGTCAAGGCAGTCAAGGGCCCCAGGGGCAAGGGGTCCCCAGCTCCAAAATTAGTTCCCACCCCCAGCCCCTAGCCAGCAGCCCTGGGCACGTCTCTGGTGGGCAAGGCCGTAGAGACTGTGGGCGTCATGCTGCGGTGCCCGCCAGGCCGAGGGCTGGATCCAGGAGCGGGCCCAGCGGCTGGCAGAGCCCATCCCTCCCGGGGAGCTGAGAGCGCAGCTGAAGCTCCTGCAGAGACACCAGGCCTTCCAGGCCGAGGTCCGGGCCCAGGAGAAGGTCCTCGCCTCCATTGCCAAGGTACCAGCAGGCGCTTGGCCCCACCCTGGCTGCAGAGTGGTCAAGAGGCAAGGTGGTGGGCAGGAGAGGGGCAGCGGGTGAGCACTGCCCACTCCCCCGTCTTCCCAGGAGGGCGAGGCCCTGCTGGGCCAGGGCCACCCCCTGGCAGGAGAGGTCTCCCAGCAGCTGCAGGCGCTGCAGGAGCACTGGGAGAAGCTGCGGCAGGCAGTGGCCCTCCGGGGCCAGGCCCTGGAGGACAGAAGGGACTTCCTGGAGTTCCTGCGGAGAGTGGACCTTGCAGAGACCTGGATCCAGGGGCAGGTGAGGCCCAGCCAGGGGGGGCGTGGGGATCCAGGCAGGGCCCAGGAGGAAGTCCCTAAAGCCCGCCTCTGCCCAGCAGTGGAGGCCGGGGCAACTGAGGTCCGTGCTCAGGGCACCACCCTCCCTGCCCTCTTTGACCCACTGCTCTGCAGGAGGCGATGGTGAATTTCGGGGACCTGGGCCAGGATCTGGAGCACTGCCTGCAGCTCCGCCGCCGCCTCCACCAGCTCCAAGGCGCCTTGGCCAGGGTAAAGGGACCCTGCCCAGGGAGGAACTGGCACAATGCCCCTGCCCGCCCCAGACACTGGGAAACCCGGATCTGGGGGCTCAGGCATCGCGTCCGTATACTTAAGAGGTTTCCTCATTGTTAAATGGGGCTAAGGCCTGCCTGGGTGGTGGGAGCCCACCTGCTCGCTGTGTCCCATGAGCCCAAACCTGTGGTAAAAGAACCACACCAGCCAATGTGCGCTGCCCCCACCCCCGGGCCCCCACGTGGATGTGCGTTAGAGAGAGCCCCATTAATAGTGCAGGGACTGTTCCGCGTCAGCCCCCTGCTTAAAGGTGGTCATGCTCTGCGAGGTGTCACTGGGAAGCTAGCGTGGGAGCGGGGACCCCTCTGGGCTTTTTTTTTTTTTAAAGAATTAGAAAGGAGGAGAAAAGCAGGTCATCACTGGCTCACTTCCCAAATGGCCGCAGTGGCCAGAGCTGGGCCGATCTGAAGCCAGGAGCTTCTTCCGGGTCTCCTACACGAGTGCAGGGTACCCAAGCACTTGGGCCATCTTCCACTGCTTTCCCAGGCCATAAGGAAGAAGGTGGATCTGCCGGGACTTGAACCAGTGTACCGCAGGCGGGGGCTTAGCCTACTATACCACAGTGCCGCCCCACCCCATAATTGCAGTTGTTAATGAAAGCTAGAGTGTGCTCCTGGATGGAGACATTGTCTGTGTCCCCTTCAGTGTGACTCTCTCAGCACCTCCTCCTCACCCCCGTACCCCCTGCACACACCTCCCATTTCTCTTAGGTAGGATAGAGGAAGGAAATTGGGCAAATGCACTCACGAGCAGATCTTAGAGACCAGATGAGCTGACCTCACCCACCTGGTACAAGTAAGGAGGAGTTTTTTTTAAGGCTGCAGAGCTTAACCCCAAGACACCGCTGCCTACGGTGCAGTCACAGGCCCAGTGCCGCATGCGCTAGGCCTCAGCCAGCAGGGCTTGGATCCTGGCTCTGCCACAGGCAACCCCAGTGGCCTCTCTAAAAGGGACAAAGCACCAGACCCTGCCTCCCTGGGTGAGCTGCTGCAGGGAGAGCTGTGGGAACGTGAGCAAGCTCTAAACGCCAGCCAGCGGCTGGAAGCCTGCGGGCCCCTCCCCACGCACCTGTGAGCCTGCTAGGGTTGGAGTCTCTGCCACACAAGTCCTCTGCCTGGAACAGCGCAACCCCTGGGGGCAAAACTCCTATGTGGCCCCACCCCTCCCTCACCTCCTCTCTCGCGGAAGCTGTGTTTTAACTTGAAGGCTCCAGGTAAGGAGCCATGCCCACTCTCCCCGCCCTCCCCAGTCTGGGAGCGTTTCCTGGCCTTCAACGTGATTCTGGGGCTCCAGCTCCACGCCAATGCTGCTCGCTGCACCTGCCTCCCACGCCACAGGCGAGCTGCACCTCATGCTCCCGGGAGCCCCAGCAGACCCCCAGTGCTGAAGAAGGGGCTCCGAGAGGGTGGTGCCCATGTCCTCACCTGCTCTCCCCGTAGGACACAGGGGCTGACGCCTACCTCAGGAGCATCGATGCCTTGTCGCTGCGGCTCAAGAACCAGGACACCGAGGAAGTCCAGACCATCTGCTGGCGGCAAAGCCAGCTCCACAGCAGGCCAGTCCCACGCCTCGAGGCAGTGGGCAGGGCGGGGAGGGCCAGCCCCAGGCTGACTGTCCATCGACCCTTGCCAGGTGGGCGAGTTTCCATGGCAACCTGCTCAAGTACCAGCAGCAGCTCGAAGGGGCCCTGGAGGGCCACATGTTGTCCCAAGAGCTGGACGTCGTCACCGAGCGGATTGGGGAAAAGGTGAGTGGTCAAATGCAGGGAAGTGGGTGCTGCCTGGCATCTCCCAGGCATCCCGCCCCTCGTCCGCCTCTCCTTCACCGGATGCTCGGTGGCCGGTCCCACCAGGCGTCTGCCAGGACAGCCAGCCAAGCCTGTGTCCTTGGGGTCAACATCAAATGCAGACACAGAAGCCCCGTGGCAGGTTCGGGGGTCCATCCGCTTGGCTCCCCTCCGCAGACGTGCTGTGCTGTGCGGAGGCCAGAGCAGCCCCACTCTGTTTGCTGCAGCCCCTGAGCAAGCCCAGAGCACGCGAGGGTTCGCCCCAGGACCGGGTCAGCAGGCACAGAACTGTGGGCTGACTGCTGCCAAGATGGTGGCTGAGCAGCAAAGCAGCCCCGAAGCCTGGCCCAGCATGCCCCGCCCCTCTCCCCCGCAGGACGCCCTGATCCAGGCCCTGGGCGAAGGCGGGAGGAGCCTGGAGCACACGCAGAAGCTGCTGCGGAATCTCGAAGTGCTGGAACAGGAAGTGGGCCTCGTACAGGAGCAGGTGGAGGTGTGTGGCTGGGTACAGAGGCTGCCTCTGTGGGATCCTAGTGGACACAAGGCACAGTGGGGCTGCACGCTGGGGGCCTCCTGCCCAGCCTCTGACCGTGGCTGCCCCACAGTCCCTGGAGCGCAAGGCAAGCTGCCTTTGCCAGGCCAGCCCTGAGGCGGCCCTCAGCCTCATCTCCAAGCAGCGAGCCATGATGGACAGCTGGCGGCAGCTCCGGAGCAGGGCCCAGAAGCGGTACGCACCCATGGCCTTCGGCCCCAGCGGCTCCGCCCCACGCTTTCCCTGGGCTCCCGTTTTCCCCTGAGGGTCTGTGTTGTCACTGCCCTGTGCTCCAGCCCCCTAGTCCATGAGCTTTCTGGGGGCTGAATGACAGGAGAAGGTGCTGGTGGGCACGGGGGGTGAGAGGCTCAGGGACCCTGGGCCTAGCTGCTGAGCCCTCTGGGCAGGAGGGAGGCGCTGGAAGCCTTGCACCAAGCACAGAAGCTCCAGGCGGCGCTGCAGGATTTGCTGGTCTGGGCCCAGGGGTTGCGGGCCGAGATGGCCATACCCAGCACCCCCTGCAGCCCAGAGGAAGCCCAGAGCATGTTGGAAGGGCACCAGGCGCGCAAGGTGAGTGAGCAGGTGGGCCCGGCTTCCTCTCCTCATTGCCTGCCACCCTGTGCCCCCCACCTGTTCCTGGGTCCTTTCTCTTCCGTCCATACCTCAGCTGTCTTCCTGCCTCACCTGTCCCCTCTGGGCGTCCTCCAGCCCTGGCTGGGGTCTGAGCCCAACCCCATTCTAGGCCGAGCTGGACTCCCGGGCAGACAGCATCAGCCTGGCCCGGAGCACTGGGCAGCAGCTGCTCGCCGCTGGGCACCCGTCCGCCCCTGACATTCGCCGGGCCTTGGCTGCCTTGGAGCAGGAGCTGAGCAGCCTGGAGGGGGCCTGGCAGGGGCAGCAGCAGCAGCTGCAGCAGGCCCTGGAGCTCCAGGTACGCAGCGCCCCCTCCCCAGCCCCCAGCAGCCCCAGCCTCGGTCAAAGCTCAGGACGAGGCTTTCCCACCACTCCGGGCTCAGCTTGCCCACAGCGAGTCTGGCCTGCCAGGGGCACGTCCTGTGGAACCGAGGACCCCAGCTCTCCTACCCAGTTCCCTCCACCTTCAGGGACTGGACCCTCTGTCCACTCTCTCCTGCCTTTTCCTTTCTTGCCAGCTGTTTCTGAGCTCGCTGGAGCGGGTGGAACGTTGGCTCTGCAGCAAGGAGGCCTGCCTGGCCGGCGAGGGGCCAGGGGTAGGTGCCTGGCAGCACTGGGGGTGGACTCCCAGGAGCCCTCCCGCCCCCACCCCGACACACCAGTCCCCGAGCAGTCCCTGCCCTGTCAATCTTGTTCTCTGGCCCTGGGAGCCTAGCGGGGGAGCGTGTGGCCCTGCCTCACTCTTGCCTCCTTCCCGCCGCCCCCCTCACATCTGCTGCTGTCCTGATCCCCATGGAGGCCCCCGGGAGCCCCCTGGGAATAATCGGAGTCCAGGTGGTCCTGGTGCGGGTGCAGTGGGGAGAGCGCTGGGAGGGAAAGCTTTGCCTGTTCTGGAAATGCGGATCCCTGCCCCTCGCCTCCTGGACGTCTGCCAGATCCCTGACCTAAAGTCAGAAGCAGCCCTGGGGTTGAGGGGTGTCTGGACTGGGCAGTGGCTTTGTGGAGGGTGTGGTAGGATGGCTGTCAGGGGGAGAGCTTAGGCTGAGAGGGGCAGCCCCATGGGCAGCGCAACCTCCCTGACCCCCCAGGACCCCCTGGCCCCCGTGGAGACCCTCCTGTGGAAGCACGAGATGCTTGAACAGGGCCTGGAGGTGCAGGCGGAGAACCTCAGCGCCCTGGAAGCTGCAGCCCATGGCCTGCTGCAGCGTGGACACCCCGAGGCCCAGAGCGCCCTGGGCAGGTGCCAGGCTATGCTGCAGAGGTACCTCTGGCTCTGGGGCGCTGGGGACTGCGGCAGGGTGGGGTGGTGGGCCCCAGGCAGCCCAGCCCTCCCTTTGCTGCCCTTCCGCCTCCCGGCCCGGGCTCACCAGCCTTTTCTGTGACATCAAGTGGCAGCCCCCTTCCTCCTTCCCCTGCTGAGATGAAGGGGAGTTCACAAAGAAGTTGCTACTGGGAAACAGGTGACCTGGACAGTGCTCGTGCACCATGGGCCATGCGGACTCAGACGGGCTCACTGCACCCAGCATAAGCACGGGGGCCACAGTTCAGCCCGTAACGGACACCGACACTAGGGAGCAGGGCACAGCGCGCCTTCGCGTAAAGGAAGCCCCGGGCTGAGGCTGGGAGGACCGGCAGGCGGCCTCGGCTGGAAGGGCGCACATGCGCACAGACTACACACAGCCCTGTGCCACCCAGGCCCCGGGCCCACGCGACCCTCCCCCCGCAGGAAGGAGGTGCTCTTGGGGCGAGCCAGTGCCCGCCGTTGCCAGCTGGAGGAGCTCGGGCAGCTGCACATGTTCCTGCAGGAGACCCACGAGGTTCCTTTTGCATGCGGGGAGTGACTGGGGGGGAGGGGCTCGCCCCGGGGTCCCTCAGAGGTTAGGGGCAGGGAGAGCCCTCCGCAGCAGACCCTCTCCGTGTGCCCAGATGGCCATGTGGCTGCGCGAGAAGAACCTCGAGGCCCTGGAAGAGGGCGGCCGGGACCCCGCCGAGCTGCAGGCACAGCTGCAGGAGGTGCAGGCGGAGCTGGACGCCGGCGCACAGCACCAGCGGGCGCTGCAGGCGGTGAGGCCCGGTGTGTGGCGGGGGGAGAGCGTGGGGCATTGCGGGCAGCTGGGTCTGGGGCAGAATCCCGGACGCAGCAGTCCTCGCGTGCTCACCCTACCAGTCAGTCGCGCAGGGAGAAGCGGTTGCCTCCCTGGGATACCCACACCAAAAATGGGGACTTTTTTTTTTTTTAGTGATTTTAGAGAGAAAAATTTTCAACTTTGTTTGAAAGGCATAGAGATAAGCAGAGAGATCTTCTATCTGCTGATTCGCTTCCCAAATGCCCACAACAGCTGCAGCTGGGCCAGGCCAAAACCAGTCACCAGGAGCTCCACTCAGGTCTTCCATATGGGAGGCAGGGTCCCACATGGGCCGTCACCTGCTGCCTCCCAAGTGTGCATTAGCAGGAAGCTGGAAGCAGAAGTGGAGCTGGGTCTCTGGTTAGGCACTGTGACATGGGATGTGGGTGTCTTAAGAGGCAGTTTAGGGGCCAGTGTCATGGCACAGCAGGTTAAGCTGCTACCTGCAGTACTGGTATCCCATATGGGCACTGGTTCGGGTCTCAGCTGCTCCAATTCTGATCCAGCTCCCTGCTGATGGCCTGGGAAAGCAGTGGAAGGCCCAAGTCCTGGGCCCATGTGGGAGATTGGGTGAAGCTCCTGGCTTCAGCCTGGACCAGCCTTGGTCATTGCAGCCGTTTGGGGAGTGAACCATGGAATGAAGATCGATCTCTCCCCCTCTCCCCCCTCCCCCTCCCCCTCTCCCTCTCCTTCTCTCTCTAACTCTGCCTTTCAAATAAATGATAAAAAGCTTAACCACTGGGCCAAGTGCCTGCCCTGAAGGTTACATTTTGAGGTGATCAGGGCTGGCACCCAGCAGCCCGGGGGTGAGAGGAGTCAGAGCAGCACCTTGTAGCATTCCCTTCCCTACCTGCAAAGGCAGGCCCTGACCCCGCCCAGTCCCCTCTGCTACAAAGTATTATAAACAAGAGCGGGGTCTCATCTCCTTTATGTGGATGGAGAACGCCAAGTTCAGGGAGGGTAATGCACTTGCGGAAGATCACACAGCCAGCTGCTGGTGCGTGGAGCTGGCACAGGTGGTGTGTGGAGCTGGCGCAGGTGCCCATGGGGTATGTGCTGCGCTGTGGCTGCAGGAGGGGCAGAGGCTGCTGCAGGGGGGCCCCTCAGCCTCAGAGACTGTCCAGGAGCGGCTGCAGGAGCTGGGGCAGCTCTGGCGTGAGCTGCAGACCAACAGCCAGAGGAAGGCGGCCAGGCTTCGCGCAGCCTGCGAGGTGAGCCTGTGCGGACCACGGAGCGGCCGGATGGGGCTCTGGGCCTCCTCCCCGGCTGCCCACTGCGTATTCTGCTGCAGGCTGTACGTCTCCGACGGAGCGTGGAGGACCTGCAGAGCTGGCTGGAGCCCGTGGAGGCTGAGCTGAGAGGCCCCGTTGGGGGCCAGGACCTGCCTGCGGTGGACGAGCTGCTGGGCGCCCAGGGGGAGCTGGAGGCAACGGTGGAGAGGCAGGCCGCACGGGCGCAGGCCCTGCTGGGCCAGGCCCGGGCCTTCGAGCGGGACGGACACTGCCTTGGCCCTGACTTGGAGGAGCAGACCCAGCAGCTGCTGCGGAGGTCCCCGCCCTGCCCTGCCCTGCCCTGCCCAGAGGATGGTGCCCCAGCCTTCAGCTTGTGTCTGCTCGGCTTTGCCCCACCACAGCGAGGGGCACAGGGTGAGCTAGTGTGCCATCACTGGCTGGTCCTAATACCGACCGCCATGCCCCTGCCTCCGTGTAGGTTCCAGAACCTGAGGGAGCCCCTGCAGGAGCGTAGGGCAGCCCTGGAGGCCCAGAGCCTCCTCGTGCGGTTCTTCAGGGATGTCGAGGAAGAGATGGCCTGGGTGCGAGAGAAGCTGCCTCTGGCCACTGCCCAGGACTGTGGCCAGAGCCTGAGCGCCGTGCAGCACCTGCAGGAGAAGCATCAGGTAGGGGCCTCCCGCAGAGGTCCTGGGTCCTCCAGGAGGGGGACGGTGAGAGGCAACTCCTTGGGAGCAGGTCCTGGGGGTGCCCGCGTGTCCTGTAGCATCCCCAGTCCCCTTCCTCTTCCGCCACAGAACCTGGAGAATGAGCTGAGCAGCCACGAGGCTCTGACCCGGGTGGTGCTGGGCACTGGGCACAAGCTGGTGCGGGCTGGCCACTTTGCCGCCCGCGAGGTGGCTGCCCGGGTGCAGGAGCTGGAGGCGGCCATGGAGCACCTGCGGGCGGAGGTGGCGCAGAGGCGGCTGCTGCTGCGCCAGGCTCAGGAGGCCCAGCAGTTTCTGACGGAGGTGAGAGGGTGCTGCAGGTGCACGGGGCCCAGCCCTGGTGTCAGACACCCAGGGCGTGCGGGGCTGGCGGAACTCACAGGGAGCTCGGTCTCCTGCCCCCGTGGCCTCCCAGCTGCCCGTTTCCCAGAACACAGACCCGAGGCCTCTGCTGCAGCTCCTTCTAACCCAGTGGTTCTCGAGTGGCGCTTTGCGTCAGCATCATCTGCAGCCTTCTCCCTGCCGCTAGGCCAAGGCACCCTGCAGCGGTGAATGCAGTGGTAGAGGAAGCAAAATGCGGAGTGAGAATGAAAGGGGGCTGGCGCCATGGCTCAACAGACTAATCCTCCGCCTAGCGGCGCCGGCACACCGGGTTCTAGTCCCGGTTGGGGCGCCGGATTCTGTCCCGGTTGCCCCTCTTCCAGGCCAACTCTCTGCTGTGGCCAGGGAGTGCAGTGGAGGATGGCCCAAGTGCTTGGGCCCTGCACCCCATGGGAGACCAGGAGAAGTACCTGGCTCCTGCCATCGGATCAGCGCGGTGCACAGGCCGCAGCACGCCGGCCCTGGCAGCCATTAGAGGGTGAACCAACGGCAAAAAAGGAAGACCTTTCTCTCTGTCTCTCTCTCTCACTGTCCACTCTGCCTGTCAAAAAAAAAAAGGACGAAAAGGGACGAAATGTGGCGCTGCTGAGTGACTGAAGCAGTCTGCACTGAGGAACGGAGAATGAGGTGTCTTTATCATTCATGGGCTGGGGGGAAATGGCCCCGGGCCCTGGAGCATTGCACTCAGGCCTCTGCTCCAGACCCCAGGACACTATAGGGATAGGGCCCAGGCAAGGAGGCATCAGACCCCTCAGTGACCCCCATGTGGGTACAGCCGGGCTGAGCGCCTCTGCTCTAAAGCCCTCGTGCCCTAGGCCGGGGCCCTCCACGGCATCTCCCAGGGGAACCTCTGCTATGTCACCCTAGCTCCTGGAGGCAGCATCCTGGCTGGCTGAGCGGGGCTGTGTTGTGGACAGTGAGGACATGGGCCAGGGTGCTGAGGCCACACGGGCCCTTCTGCGGCGACTGGAGGCCACCCGGAGAGACCTGGAGGCCTTTGGGCTACGCTTGGAACGGCTGCAGCACACAGCGGCACTGCTGGAGAGCAGGCAGAGCCCGGAAAGGTAGGGGGGAGGGCAGGCGGAGAGCAGGAGGCAGCCTAGGCTGCCAACCTGGTGGGGGGGTCGGCGGAGGGGGCTCTGGCCCAGGCTGCCTTCCTGCCCCAGCCCCCAGGTCCTGGCCCAGATGCAGGTGGTGACAGAGGCCCACGCGCAGCTGCTGCAGAGAGCGGAGGCCAGGCGCCGAGGCCTGCAGGAACAGCTGCAGGTGCACCAGCTGGAGCACGAGACCCTGCTGCTGGACACCTGGCTAAGTACCCAGGTGGCCGCCGCCGAGTCCCAGGACCACGGGCAGGACCTGGAGGGCGTCACGGTGAGTCTCTGGGCTGAGCCTGAGTAGGCACGGAGGCTGGGGCGTGAGCAGGGAGGGAGCTGCAGTGGGAGCTCTGGGCCAATCCCTGTGGTTCTGGCACCAGCTTCCCCCCTGCAGAGTGACCCTCCCTGCCGCACCCCCTCGCAGGCGCTGGAGGAGAAGTTCGATGCTTTCAGCAAGGAAGTACAGAGCCTGGGTCAGGCCCGGGTGCAGGCCCTGGGGGAGCTGGCAGACAGCCTGGACCAGGCAGCCCCCCACGGCTCTCTCCACGTTCAAGCCCAGAGGAGCCGCATCCAGGCTGCCTGGGAGAGGCTGGACAAGGCCATGAAAGCCCGCAGAGAGGTAGGGCCCACCTGCCTGGCTTCAGCCAAAGCCACAGTGACCTGGGGGCAGGCGCGGGGCCTCTGAGCACCTCACATGTCTAAGGAGAGACGGAAGCTCCCAGAAGGCACACACTTGGTGGCTCCAGGTCAGCACAGCGCCCCCTGCATCCATGCCCCCTCTGAGTGCGGTCAGTGCCTCTGCACGGGAGTGCAGCCTTCGGCTTCCTGCCGCCTTGGTTCTCAGCCTCAGCTGGTAGCTTCGTATCAGAGCAGCCCCTGGCAGACCTAGGGCACCCAGCAGATGCCCCTCTGTGCTTTCCTGGCCCAGCCTGGGCCAGGGCCCTGCCCTGCCATCGGGTGCACACCAGAGGCCGCCCCTGCGAGCCCAGTGCGTCATTCACATTTCCCAGCCAGATGGGGCTGCACCTGAGGGTCCCCACGGCCCCTTGCTCAGAGGAGGTGGCCACAGGCTGTCTCCAGGAAGAAGGCAGGGGAGCAGAGCTCAGCCCCAGCAGCCTCGTCCACCCCCCCAGAGCCTGGCCGCGGTCCGGGAGCTCCGCAGCTTTGAGCGGGCAGCAGCCGGGCTGCGGGGCTGGATGCAGAAGCAGATGGCCCTGGTGCAGGGAGCCCTGCATGGCCACACGTGTGAAGACCCCTCCTGTGTGAAGACACTGCAGCAGCAGCACGGGCGCCTGGAGGTGAGAGCCCTCGCGCACCCGAAGGAAGGCCTGCCCCCTGCAGAGCCCTCTCTGGGGAGGGCAGGGGCCCCCAGCTGTCTCCAGCTGCCCCCCAGAAGGGCCACGTGGGGACCCTTCCCTAGACTGTAGCCTGAGCCTGTCCCTGGGGGAGACACGCCTGCTCTTGTGGTTGTAGAGGGAACTGGCAGCCATGGAGAAGGCGGCGGCCCGGTTGCAGATGGAGGCCCGGTGTCTGGGCCAGCGCCACCCTGAGGCTCAGGAGGGCCTGGCTGAAGAGCTGGCCAAGGTGCAGGAGGCCTGGGCCACCCTGAAGGCCAAGGCCCAGGAGCAGGGCCAGCAGCTGGCACAGGCCGCCCAGGGCCACGGCTTCCTTGCGCGCTGTCGGGAATTGCTGTAGGTGGCGTCTTCCCTTGGCCCCTGGCTGGATCCTGCCCTGTGGGGTGGGGGCGTGGCAGCTCTCCAGGCTGCCCCGCCCTGACAGAAGCTGCTTTCCCTGCCCTGCAGAGCATGGGCTCAGGAGCAGAGGGCGCTGGTGGCGGCAGAGGAGCTGGCTCAGGACGTGGTGGAGGCAGAGCGGCTCCTGGGGCAGCACGAGGAGCGGGGGCAGGACATCGAGGAACACGGCCTGCAGGCCCAGGCCCTGCAGCAGGAAGGGCGGCGGCTGCTGGACCACAGCCCTTTCCTGACCCCAGCGCTGCAAGCGCAGGTGTGCCTGGGGGCAGCCCCACGCCCAGGGCCTCTGAACCCCTGGAGGTGTCGCGGCCTCCCCTCTGCTCCCTACTGGCCCCGGGTGGGAGCGCTGGCTGCGCACTCACCCGCAGCAGCCCCTCCCCGCCAGGTGGCAGAGAGCCTGCAGGAACTGGAAGGACGGCTGCAGGAGCTCCAGGAGGCCTGGGCCCTGGGCCTGCGGCGCTGCCGGGAGCGCTGGGGTCTGCGGAAGCTGCGGCAGGAACTGGAGCAGGCTGAGGCCTGGCTGGCCTCCCGGGAAGGCCTCCTGCTGGAGCCCAACTGTGGGGTGTGTCTGGCAGCCCCTGCCCCGGGGGGGCCCCTGGCTGCGCTGGCGTGGGGGGAGGGGTGCTCCCGGTGCCCAGGAGCCGGGCCTCACCCGCCTTGCTTCTCCCCAGCGTTCGGTGTCGGAGGTGGCATTGCTGCTCCACAGACACCAGGACTTGGAAAAGCTGCTGGCCGTGCAGCAGGAGCATGTCGCCCGCCTACAGGAGCCCGTGGAGGTGGGCCCCCCCCCCCCCCCGCCTCGGCCTGCAAGTCCGCCCTCCCCAGGGCCCCCCTCGGGGTGTTCCCTTCAGGGAAGCTCCATCCATGCCTGTGGTACCATCGCCCCAAGATGCAGGTGGGGTAGGGTGCCACCTGGACAAGGGGGGCGGGTCTCCGGACCTTAGGCAGGCAATGGCCACTGAAGAGACTGCGCCTCTCTGATGGGGTGGGCAGCCCAGGCATTACCTGCTCTGGGACCTGCCTCACCTCGCCCCTGCCCCAAGATGCAACGGGCTGGTGCAGGTGCCAGGTACCAGGAGAGCTGACAGCTGTCCAGGGTGGGCCCGCCAGATGCCGGGCCCCAGGAGCACAGCTCGGCCCTGCAGCCCTGGCCCCCGCAATGGGAGCCCAGTGGGGCAGGGGCCATGGGGGCAAGACCCACACCCTGAAGCTGGCCCTGAGGTTCCGGGAAGCGGGCTGCTGGGTGTGGGAGCTGAGGGGCACCAGGAGGGGACAAGGTCAGGAGAAGTGGGGTTGAGCCCACCTTCTGGAGGGGCCTGCGCTGAGCTGGGGATGAGCCCGGGCCCCAGCCTGCGTTGCCAGGAGACAAAGGCTGCCAGGGAGGGACACTGGGTTTAAGCAGCAGATCCAGCTCTGCAGCCCCTCCCCGGGGCCCGGGTGAACTGCCCTCCACTCTGGACCCTTCACAGAAGCTGCCCGCCCGGAGGGGAAGGGGCTCTTCCTGCTCCTTTCCTTGCTTTCCCTAGCAGAGCCCCTCACAGTCTCCCTCCTCCCTAGGTGGGGACCTCACTCCTAGGCCTTGCTTTGCCTAGGTGGCCCTGGACACACATGGCCAGGCTGTAACAAGGCCCAGCAGTAGCTGTCCACTGGCCTTCTTGCCCTCTGTCCACAGCCCAGCCCCAGCCCCAGCCCCTGGGGCAGCTGTTCGGGAACTCCTGAGCCGCCCCAGAAATGAGAGGTAGGAAAGGGCCCCAGGCAGCAGAGGCCACACGGGAAAGCGGAGATGGCCACAATGATCTGTCCTGGTCTCTGCACAGACAGCGGCTTTCACACGCCCCCTTGCCTTCATGGAAGCCCACTGCAAGCAGCTGAGGGACCAACGCACCAAGAGCCAGTCTTTGTGCGTGAGGTGAGATGGGGACACGTGGACTCAGGCCTGGCCTCCCAAGCGGCCACCAGGCTGAGGGGCTGGAGGCAGGGGCCAGAGGGGAGGAGGTGGGTGTGACCCCCGGCTGTCGGTGTGCCAGGCCCAGCAGCGAGGACAGCCTGCAGGCAGCACCAATCGAAGAGCAGGCCGAGAGCTGGCAGCCGGCCCTGGGCAGCACAGCAGGTGTGTGGGGCTCGGTGGTGGGGGAGAGGACGGGGGAGGGACGCCGACCCCTGGTCCCCAGGTTCCTGAAGTGGGTGGCATTCTATGCTTCCCCAGAGTTGCACATTCGCCTGTTTCTCCCCAAGAAATGAGGGTCTCAGCCAATTTAAGGCCCAGAGGGGTTAAATAACTTGCCTGAGGCCACACATCTCAGGTCAGCAGAGCTGGGGCCCCTGTCCCTCCAGGAGCTGCCCAGGCTGTGCTGCCCCATCCTGGCCAGTGCTGCGTGCCCCCTCGCCGGGGGGCTCTGCAGTGACCCGCCTGGGTTCCACTACCAGCAGCACTGCCGCAGCCCACGCTCCCTTCACGGCCCCATGGGCCAGGGCTGCAGGGGTGTGCCCAGGACATGTGCTGGGAGCCGCACAGGCCCTTATCCTCTACTGCGTTCCTGGCTCCGTGCCTCACGGCGTCCACTTCTGCAGGCCCCTTCCCAGACTCCGGAGAATCTCAAAGGGGTGCCGGGTCATTTGCTTTCACAGCTCCCCCTCCTGAGGGCCAGGCCCCAGTGGGAGCCCTGGAGCAGGGAGGGCTGGGGCCACCAGGGCTGCTCTAGCTCTCTCCTTGCTCTGTAGCCCCCACAGCCAATCCTGTCGGTGGCATGGTGGCAGCGCAGTCCAGCGTGGGCACTCGGCTCAGGTAGGACATGGGGAGGGGGGAGCCTGTGCCCAGGCCCAGGGCACTACTGGGGTGCAGGGAGACCCCCGCCCTGAGGGCAAACCTGCTGCCTCCCACCTGGGACGGCAAAGACCAGGCCATAAGGCGCTCTCTCCCTGCAGCTCGGACAGCAATCTCCTCCCCGGGGCTCACCCCACCTCGGCCTTGCCCTCTGCACTGGAGGAACCCCCGCGGGTCACAGGGCCTGCCCCAGAAGCTGCCCCTGGCTCCCCACACCAGCCCTAAGATGAGTTCCTGGCCCACGTTGGAATGCCTGCCCGCATGTCCACGAGGCTGCTCGGCTATGGATTGTGGGGCTAAGAAGAGATCTACTAACACCCCCCACCCGTCTCTCCCAGCTCCAAGCAGGGGGATTTGAAGCTGCCTGGGAGAAGAACCTCAGGGCCCCTCCTCCAGGATGCAGCCCCGCCCCCACCCCCTCCCACAATGCCCCCGGGGTGCCAGTCTGTCCCGGAGATGCTGTTACTGAAGGGACAGTTCCTGTCCTGGGCATAGCTGGAGCAAGCCAGGGGGCTGAGAGAGCACCTAGCTCCCATTTACCACCCCTCACTGGCAGCTGCCCATTAGCCTAGAAAGAAGCGGGTGTCCAGGGAGGCTGCAAGAAGATCCAAAGGTGGCCCAGGCCCGAAGCCGTCGTCTCCCTGCAGTGAAGCCTCCAGGTCACCTCCCACCCCTGGGCGCAACAGGAGGGGACCAGAATAAGACCCAGGGCCCGGCCCCCCAGGACCCGCCTCTGGCTGGAGTTCCCTGTTGGACAAGGGGCCTCTCCTGAAGCTATGCTGCTGCTCTGATGCATCTGGTCCTGCGTCTGCCACGCCCACTCGTGGCAAGAGAGCCCTGGACCACACCCTGAGGTCGCTCCCACGGGCCAGGCCAGGGTGGCCCCGGCTCAGGTACATGGACGTGAGCAGGTGTCCTGATCTTTGGGGGCCGCCCGCGCTGACAAACACTCTGCAAGGTACAAGGGAGACGCTTCCTTTTGTTTTTAAACCAGTCCTTGTGCTGTGCATCCCTGAACGCCCGCCCCTCCTTCCTGACAGCAGAGACCCTCAGCCATGGTCTCGGTCGCTGTAATGTCCAAAGCTCCCCTGGAGGCAGTGACCCAAGCCCCTCTGCTCACAGGCCCTGGCAAGCATGGCCGCAGAGCTGGGCCTGGGCTTCTGAGCCCCCGGGGGTGGGGCAAGAGACGCCGCAGGGCCGCGCCTGCGCAGTCTGCCTTCACTGGCGCCGCTGCCTGCGCTGCACGGCCTGGCGCAGGGCCTCCAGCAGCCGCTCCCGGTTGTTGCAGATGTTGTAGCGTGTCAGGCGCAGCAGCTTCTCCGTGTCCTCGGGGCTGTAGGTCACCTTGGTGTAGTGGTAAGGCGAGTCTGAAGGAGACAGGTTCACGGTCCCCGCTGCCTCGTCCTCAGCTGTCCGCCGCACCCCTGTGGAGAGAGGACCGCCAAGGTCACCAGCGAGGCAGGGGGAGGGGAGTGGGGCGGGGGCCGGCCGTGGCTCACCGGGGGCCGAGTGCTCCCTGAAGGAGGTGTTGACCAGCGGGAAGTGCAGCACCACCGGGACCTCGGGCTGGGTGGGGGTGGCGAAGACGTGGCACTCCTGCGGCTGCTGCTGCTCCTCCGGGCTGGGCGCGATGGGCGGGAAGGGGATGCCCTGCTCCTGGCAGAAGCGGCCCAGGAGCTGCAGCTGCTGCAGGGGCACAGCAGAGGGGTCAGCGGGCGGCCCGCAGCGTCCCCCGGAGCTCCACAGGGGGCTGGCTGACCGCGGAGGTTTGCTGGGACACAGGACCCGGTGCCTGACCCCCGCGAAGACTAGAGGCGCACCTCCCCCCTGCAGTCAGTCAAGACCCTGAATAAAGGCTCTAACCCTCACCATCCTGGGCTGCTGTACCTAGGGGAGACATGGTGCCCTGAAATGGGGGGAGGGATCACACAACCCCATAGCAGGTGCATCCCCAACAGCCAGTCCCTAAAAGGGTACGAATGCAGCCAGGGGGGCCTGAGACAAAAGCGACTCTGCACAGGGAGCAGGGGGAGTTGATCTGTTCCCCAGAGAGTGACTGGCAGCTCCTGAGAGAAGCTGGACCGCCCCGGGGGCACGGGAGGCCAGGCCGGGATTACCGCACCTGGAAGGCGCCGTGCAGGTTGTAGTCCAGCGACAGGATGAGGTCCACCTCCCGGGTGGGCTGCAGGAGGGGCAGGCAGCTGGTGTTGATGAGGTACCCGACGTCCAGAAGGCAAAGGTGGGCCTCTGCAGGCGTCAGCTGGTTGGGGAGCCCATCCAGCTTCGTGGCTGCAGGGGTGGGTGTCAGACTCCTCAGGGCTAATGACGGCGGCACAGGTCTCGGACCCCTGCTATTTTTCTGCTGAGGTAGCAGCACCCCCACCCCCCACACACACAGGGGAGAGGAGCCCGGTTGGGGAGAGGAGGGGCCAGGACCAGGAGGGACAGGCAGGTACCTTTCCAGGTGGAGAAGTGAGGGTGCTGGAAATAGTCCTTGTGGAAATGGAGGCCGCGCAGGAAGTTGTGGGTGGCCTGGGCCAGGGGGCGCCTGGTCAGGAGGTCGGTGAAGAACCCAGCGATCTTGCCCGCTGTGCTGGGCGGCTCCTCTATCTTCAGATGGGGGACCTGCTCCTTATCTGCACAGGTTGGAAAGTGAGCACTGGGGGACCCACAGGTGCCTAGGCCCCGCCCCTGGCCACCCCCCTGACCGAGTGAAGAGCCCCAGCACCTACCTAGGCTGGCCCGATTCTGGGCCCAGCGGTCCCAGAACTCGCCGGGCTCCGAGGCCCAGTACAAGCTGTCCTGGAGGCTGGCCGCATACAGGTTGCTCCAGATACCTTGAGGGGTAGACCGGGGTGGGGGGGGGCACTGTCACAGCCCATCCTGCACTCAGAAGCTTCTCTGTGAGCAGGGCGGGGACCCCCTCGCCCTGCCTTCCAGACCCCCTTACCTTCCAAGAAGCAGATGCGGGACTCGGGGAGCCGCTTCACCAGGCGCCCCATGAAGAACTCGGAGCCGAAGAGCTCGGCAGGGACGAAGGCGCCGTATTTAGGGAAGCCGACCTCGTACGGGGAGAACTCGCACCACTCTGCAGGGAGGCCGCACGCTCAGCTTCAGGGCCCACAACCTGCCCATGCACCCACGGGCTTCACTGCAGGGCAGCCCAAGGCCCAGGAGGCAGGGAGGACCCGCCCCTCGCCCACTCACCCCCAAATTCAAAAGTGGTCAGGCCCTGCTCCTTGGTGTTGAGGGCACAGTAGATGGGCAGGGGGTTCTGGCCCCGATTCACAGCCTCCCGTTGATCAGAGAGTTTGTGGTCACGGGGCTAGGGAAAGAAGAACCCTTGACCCACGGCTGCTGGGTGCCTAGAGCCCCCCCCCGCCCTTGCCGCCCAGTGCTGCTCCCCTGGGGCTCCAGCCCCCACCCCTGCCCCACCTGGCCGTGCAGCAGCGCCTCATTGACGAGGGCCCACAGGTTGGTGAAGCAGGGCGGGTGGCCCAGGTCGGCGCGCTCGGCCAGCTCCCGCCGGTACCGCTGCAGCTGGCTGGGGGCCAGCACGCCCAACTTGCTTTTGGTCACCCGGGTCTTCAGCAAGTCAGTGGGCCCTGCCAGGTCCTTCTGGGACCACTCTGGGTCCTCGTAGAGGCTGGCCAAGGCCCTGAGAAAAGCCAGGTCAGGGAGGCTGTCACCAAAGGCCCCCATCCAGAGCAGCAGCTGCTGTGAGGTCTCAGGGGCCTGGCACCCCCTCACACCCCACAGGCACCCAGCTCACCAGGTGGAGCCGGAGGCCCCCGTGATGTAGGAGACGCAATCCAGGAGGCCCAGCTCCTGCAGGCCAGCCAGCTGCCCATACAGGGAGGTCATCGCCCGAATCCCACCCCCTGTGGCCATGACAGCTACCACTGGGACCTAGAAGAGAGGACAGCCACGCTTGGGGACGGCCCAGGGAGGGGGGAGCAGCAGGTCAAGGGGCTGCTCGGCTCACCCAACAGGTCTGGTCGGGGGCAGTGGCTGGCGTCCCAGCCGAGACACTGCTGGGGATGCCCACATCCCACACTGTGGTGCCTGGACCCAAGTCCCAGCTCCGCTAGGCCCAGCTGCCTGCTAATGAGCACCCTGGGAGGCGGCAGACAATGGCTCAAGTACCTGGGTCCCTGCCACCCACAGGGGAGACCCAGATGGAATTCCTGGCTCCTGGCTTAGGTCTGGCTCAGCCCCAGCTGCTGCAAGTATTGGGGAGTGAAGCAGTGAGTGGGAGATTTATTATTATTTATTTGAAAAGCAGAAAGAAAAGACCTGGTCAGTGGTCTCAGGATTAGTGCTGAGCCGGCCATGCCAAGGGGATCAGCCACAGACCCCCCAGGTTCAGGCTGCTCAAGCTAAGAGAACTTCAGGGCAAACAGCCCAGTGGAGGGCCAGGCCTCATCTCCTTACCCCTGGCCCCCAAGGAGGCTGCAGATCACTTAAAGTCCTGAAGCCACCTCAACAGTCTCCCCCACAGCCTCTCTCTCCTTACAAGAAGTCATTCCCCTGGGAGACAGCCCAGTCTGACCTGAAGCTCCTGGGACGAGGGACCAGCAAGCCACTTCAGACCAGGAGACTGTTGCACTCATCATTCAGAGCAGGCCCAGTCTCAAAACCTAGGCAGGCTCAGGCCCAGGCCCAGGCCCAGCAGACAGAGGAAGGCCGACCCCACAGGGCAGCTCCCATCTGCAAGCTCCAGGTGCCTCCCGCACTGCACTGCTCAGCACCTACCACACCCCTGACCACACTGAGAGAGGGAAGCAGAGCAGGAATGGGCAGATGGGAGGCAGCTACAAGCCAGGCTGGCACCAGCTTGGGTTGAGTTATAGCACAACAGGCTCCAGTTTTAGCACTGGGCCTGGAGACGACCCCACCCAATCCAGCACAGCCCCCAGACCTCGTCCTCCTGCAGGTCTCTGTCCAGCTGCAGGGCCTGCTTCAGGGCCTTGGCCACCACCTGCTTCCGCCTGCTCAGGAAGGCCTGCTCCTCCGCGCAGAGCCCACAGCCCAGGCGCACCGCCAGCTCCCTTGGCCTGGGGGAGGAAGAACCCACGGGGCAGCTGTTAACTCTTCCAGGGAAGGCAGGGGAAGCTGGGCCTGCAGGACCTGCCAGCCCAGGGCTCCCCAACCTCTGCCCTTGGCCACACCTGTGACACCTGTAGGACCCAGACATCCCAAAGAGGCATGAGGAATACAGCAGAGCACACAGCAGGCCAGGGAGGTTACTGGGCCCCAGGTGCGCGTGAGCCTCTCATAGGACCGGACCATGAAGCCCACTGCCACCAACTCCAAGAAGACTACAAAGGGGCAGGGAAGTGGAAGCGATGGCCCCATCCCATGGCCGGGGGAGGGGTGCTTTCCCTAGGGAAGCGGTCCAAGGTCCACCCACAGCAGCAGTCGCCTAAGGGGCACCCCTTCCCCTCCCTAGACCAGCGCCCCCTCCCCATTCTTCTAACTAAATATTTACTAGGCGCTCCCGGAGTGCTGGGTGGGCACACGGGTTTCCCACCAAAGCACAATCCCAAAAAAGCCCTTAGGAAACCCACCTAGGTGCACCGAGCTCCCTCCCGGCACTTCCTGTGCCACCCACAATAGTGGACAGGGCGCCTGGGCCGGGAGCTGGGCCAGCTGGCCTGTGCCACCCCTCCCCGTGTCACCCTCACCCGCACCTCTCACCCTGCTTCCTTCTTCAGCTCCACCCTCATCAGGGGCTCCTGAAACCACAAACGCCCCTGTCACAAAGGTTGCCCCCCCCACACACCCCCCAGACCGCGTTCCTTTAGCCCAGCCTCAGGTACCCTTGGGCCCTTCCTGCCACACAGCTGGCTCTGGCTCTTGCACTTGTCCACGCGTGGCCCAAGTAGGAAGGTGGCCCCTGAAGCTGGGCCCTGCCCAGCCCGCCCGCACTCCCAGCTTCCGCAGCACACAGCAGCTACCTGGGACGTGGGGAAGACGAGCCGCACCAACTGGCCAGAGGGCAGCGCCTTCAGAGGCACCTTCAGCTGCTCCTGGGGCGCATCCTGCAGAGGCCAAAGGCAGGAGCCCCCAGAGTCTCTGCCGCTCTCCTGGCACAGACCACCGCACCTCCCTCGGGCTCCTCCCGCCGGCAGCGGGGGAAGGGGAGCCAGGCAGACTCTAGGCCCCTGCCTCAGGGGAGCAAGGCCCCTACCTGCAGGTGAATACGGAGCTCCTGCTCCCAGCAGGCTGGGCAATGGAAGCGGAAGGGGCCGGAGCCCACCGAGGCCTCCTGTGGACTCTCACAGGCTCCGGGAACCACCAGCCGAACCCTGCCCCCCGACTCTGGGAACAGGAACCAGAGCTGAGAGGCCAGGAGTGAGCTCTTTGCCCAAGGGTCCCTCGTCGTGTCTGAGGGGCCCGGGGGTGTGCCCAGGCTGAGGCCGGAGGAGCGTCCCCGCGCCCCAGCCTCTGCAGAGGACTTCGGGAAAACGCTCAGGCCCTGAGGAGGCCTGGGGCTGATTCACCCCGACCCCTGCTCTGCTGTGGGCCACGCAGGGCAGCTTGTGCGAGGTCCCTGCAGGGCCTGTCAGAAAGGGGCATGGGGGCTGGGGACTCACCCTTCTGGTCCCCCATGTCTGTCAGGTGCACATGCAGGCAGGAGAGCTCCCGGGCCTGAGCCGTGAACAAAGCCCTCGGTCAGGGCCGCCCCGGGCCGCGGCTGCGCCCTCTTCCTGTCCAGCACCTCTTTACCCAGGTCCTCAGTTATCAAGCACTTGCTTGAGGCTGTGCTTTCCTGAGGACCGGAAACCCCAAACTCTACCCAGCCCAAAGCAGCGAGGGGGTCCCAGGCCCACCCCCCAGGGAGCGCAAGCCCAACTCACCACCAAGATGCCATTGCTGGCCAGTTGCTCGGCACCTTCTGTCCTGGAAGAGGCGCCATGACCTCAGCAGGAGCCCTGGCTCTCTCCCACGGGGGGCAGCCCCCCACTCCCACCCAGCTCCGCCCGTGGCTCACTCACAGACTCTGCAGCCGAAACTCAACTTCCAGCCGCTCTTCACCCTGGAGAGGGAAGCCAGTGAGGAGAGATGAGGTGCACGTATGCGTGTGCAGACCCCACCCCAGACGCCAGAGAGGGCTGCTGGGGAGGGGCCTCGTGTGCCCGTGTGCCTCGTGCTGCTCCAGTAGTTGGCTGCCCTTCGGCTTGCAGGCCAGGGAAGCAGCTCAGGGTCAGGACTGCTCCGAGATGGACAACAGTCCCTGCTGGCCGAGGCCTCTGGGATGCCGGGAAGGCCGGACCAGTCGCTGCAGAGCAGGGCTGTGCCCCCACCCTGCCGGGCATGCCCACTGCCCTGGAAGCAGCCTTGCCTGGGCGCGCAGTGAGAAGCTCTCCCGCCGGAACTCGCCCACCCGCAGGGTCCCCACATCAAACAGCACTGACAACACGGCGTCATCTTTGGTCAGCAGGTCCTGGTCAAAGACTCTCAGTTCCACAACATTCTGCAAAGGGAGAGGGATCAGGGGAGAAGGTGAGCTGGGACGGGAACGAGGGGCTGGGAGAGGCTGGGGCCGGGGGACAGGGCTGTCCCTGCCTGGCCCACCTTCAGCTGGCTGTGGATTCGGAAGTGAAAGCTCTGATTCCAGATGGGGCTTCTGCTGTTTTTCACTGTGCGCGTCTGCAGCCTCTGGCTAGAGGCCGTGGGCAGCCAGAGAGTCACGTAGCAGTCAGAGGGGGTCACTGCAGGAAGCAGGAAGAGGGTCCAGCAACGCCGACACCTGCCAGCCGCCTCCCACTTCCCCCCCTGACCCAAAGACTCATGTACAACGGGGCTGGGCCCCAGCTGCCTGCTTCCTCCCCGAATCCCCTCCCATGAACTCCCCCTGGGCCTGCCCCACGGGGAACCCAGCTGCAGTGCCCTCCTCCTCCCTCAGCTGGCATCGGCCCAGGGAAGCTGCACACTCACCGAGGTCCTTGGAGGGCAGCCCGTGGGCCTGCAGGACACGGACGGTGAGCAGGCAGCTCCCGGGCACCTTGGCCTATAGGGGAGGGAGGGGGCAGGTCGGAGGCAGGCGGACAGGGTCCAAGGTGACAGGGGCCACAGGGTGGGGTGGGGGCTTGTACTGAGGCCCTCTGCCCTAAATCCCAATCCACAGGGGTCATGAGTGCGCAGCCTGCCTCTGCCCCAGCAGGATCGCCATCAACAGGCGCTAAGGCATCTCCGGGATCCCTGCCAGCACCAGCACACGCCCTGGGCCAACTCTGGGCAAGTGCGTCACATCCATGAGCCCACGCATCACCCGCCTGACCTACGCAGGGGCACTGTTCCTGATGACCAAGCCCAGGAGGAAACTGAGGCATGCAAGTTAAGCAGACCCGTGCCCAAGTGGGGACCGGACCCTGGAGCAGGCTGGCTCCACACATAGGACCCCCCGGTCCTTCTCCCGAGAGGCCGCTGGGGGACACAGGCTATGGGGTAGGGGAAGAGGCACCTCAGGGCCCTTGGCTGCTCCCTGTAGCGTTCCGCAGGGCAGGGGTAGTAGCTACAGCTCCAACTGCCCACAGACTGGCAAGTCCCCCGGTCCTAGAGTCCAGCTAGGGCTGGTCCCCACACAGCTCCCTCCAGACCTCCGCTCCAGCAGATGGGTCAGGCCGGGGAGGCCTGTGCCAGTGGTCCTACCTTGTGCTCTTCAGCCACGCCCCTGAAAGGGCCATGAGGGCTACATCAAGAGAGCTCCCTGGCTCAGGGGCAGAGCTGGGGATGCTCACCCACCTGTGTCAACCCCAGGGCTCTCATACCCCAAGCAACTGAGACAGGCGCAGCAAGCAGCCACCTCCCTCTGGGCCCCAGGACAGCACCGGGGAGCCTGAGTTCCCAGGACCACTCTCAGGGCAGAGAGCCTGGGATGCTCCTGTCCCTGGGCTTCTGCTCACTGCCCTGGCCATCTGTACACCCAAACAGCGAAGGTTCTCTACCACACCGGAGCCACTAGGCCCAGCGTCCCGCAGGGTCCTACCAGAGCCATGAGGCCGGGTCCTCAGGAGCAGCAGGGATGGGCAGTGGCCACAGGACCTCGACTGTCAACTCTTCAACCTGGAGCCAGGGGTGTCCCAGCTGGCACTGAGCTCCTCCCTGGTCCCTCCCACCACCTCCTCCACTCCACCCAAGCCCCACACCAACCCTGAACCAGACACCTGTCCAGGAAGTGAGGCAACCAAAACCTACACTCAACCTGCTGACACCCCTGTGGCGTCAACTCAGCTCCCTGGAGCACCTGCTCTCTCCCCGCCCGGCCCTGAAGAGGAAGAGAGGGCCCAGGAGAGCCTGAGTCAGGGGCCAGCACACAGAAAACCAGAGTGGGCCCCACGGCAGCCATGGACCAAGAAGCCCAGGGCCTGAAGCTGGGCCTTTCGCAACCTCCTGGTGCCGGCAGGACAGGAATGCCCAGTCCAGGCTCAAGGGCTTGGCTAATCAAGGGGAGTGCTCTGAGCCCCATCACACCCCAGCAGGGTGGGGGTGTGGCTCTGCCCTAGAAAGCAGCCCTCCCGAGCCGTGTCCAGGAGGCCAGGGATGAGGCCTACGGGTTGTTGTGCAGGGCCTGCGTGGGCTGAGGGTGGGGCATGACCAATCCTTCCTCAGAGGGCCGGCCTCAGTGGGGAGGGGACCTGGCTTGTGGTGGGAAAAGCCTGGATTCCCCCTGGGGCACCAGACCCCACCTGCTGCCCCGAGACTGAGGGAGGAAGCCAAACCAGAGTGAGGAGTGGTCTCAGCAGCCCTGCGCCAATGGGGTCTAGGCAGCAGAGCTGCAGAACAGGCCTGCTGGGTTGCCCTGGGGAGGGGCTTGGGGAGTGGCCCCAGGCCCAAACCTGCCCTCCTCCCCCCTGAGTCACTCCAAGGGAGCATCAGAACGTGTGCATCACAGCAACTTTTATTGAGCGCTTCCTCAGAGCCACCACGCTGGGCCCTTAAATGCCACCTCCACGCCCACAACAGCCCCGGGAGCTACAGCCATCATTAGCCGTGCGTACACCCTGACGGGACACGGAAGCCGGTGGCAGTGACTCAGCCAGGGCCGGCACTGGTGAGCGCACGATTCCTCCTCGTCTGCGTGCTAACTTCCTGGGAACCCTCACCCGGACCTGCCGGAGCCTCCCCGTCCCCCTGACCCCATCCCGAGTGAGCCCCTCCAAGGCCGAACTCAACCCAGGCTGGGCGCTGGGCGCTGGGCGCTGGGCGCTGGGCCTGTAGCCAGCACGCCCTGAACTCCAGGTTGTCTCCACACTGACCCCACTTGGGAGGGCCTCGCGCAGCGCGGGGCAGGGCGCCCTCAGCTGAGGCCCGACACCCATGTGAGGGAGTCGAGCAGCTGGAAGTAGCTGTACCTGAGGTCGTACTCCATGTCGTACCAGAAATTCACTGTGGGGAGAAGGGGGCCGAGCATGAGGACACCCTGCCCTGCTCCAGAGCGTCCAGGGGCCCTGGTAGGGCGTGTCCCCCCGCAGCCTGCACCCTCCTCACCAGCAATGCAGCCGTGGGACTGCCGGACGTGGTGGAACCAAAGGGCTGGCAGGTAGAGCATCTCGCCGGCCCGCACTGTGCAGCGAAGGGCCTGTGCCTGGCTGTACCCAGGGAACCGGGCCAGGTCTGGAGCCAAGGGGTCCAGTGGGATCCAGGGCACCTGGGGACACAGCGGATGCCGGGGGAAGCCCTCCAGCCCAGGCCCTCCAAGGTGAACAGCAGGGGCGCTGCTCAGCTCAGCCTGAGGCCCCCACTGCTTCAGAGCTGCTTGCCACCTCCCCAGATCTCCCGGGGGAGCCCAGACTCTTGCCCTGCCCCCTACCCTGGAGCCCCGGGGCCAGGACACATACCTTCTCCATGGCCTCTTCGTCCACCATCTTGAAGGTGCCTTCTTCAGTCAGCTGGTAGGTAGCCGGTGTATACAGCTCTGGGGCCCGAGAGCAGGGTGTAGGGAGCCTCAGTGGCAGGGGGCTTACCAGCCCTCACCCACCCCAGCCAGCCCACGTTCTCAGGCACAGGGGTCCTGGTGTAGCGGAGACCCGTGGCAATACCTAGGGCGGGGCCCAGCCCCTCAGGGCTCTTGCCGCCCTCCTCACTCTCTGTGCACACACACCCCCCACCCTCCACCACCACCCCTACCATAGGGGATGAAGGGCCGGTCGGTGGGCGGATGGAGCAGGAAGTGCTTCTCGCCCGAGAGCACGCAGTAGAGGTTCTCGTAGTGGTCCTTGTGCACTGCCGAACAAGGCAGGCCCCATGAGCAGGGCCAGGAGGGCTGACCAGCGGGCTCAGCACTGCCCCTGGCAGCTTGGGGGATGCCAGCAAGCCTGGGAGACTCAGAGCTTGCCCCCGACCCGAGGGGGTCACCTGACTCATCTCTAGGAGGGGAAAAGGAGCCAACCGCGTGCTCTGAACTTCACCCCGACCTTGCTGGCATTCACAGAACCTTTGGGGCACCTTGACAATACAGTGTACCACCCCCTTGCCTCAGGGACCCTCAGTGTACCCCCTCCTCGCCTCAGCTGCAGGGGAGACCTGGGACCCAAAAACCCCCACCCAGAGAACAGCTCACCAACTGTCATCTGGCCCAACCTTCCTGTCCTGTCTCCACGCCTCTCCCTCTGCCCCCACTGCACCTCCCCACCGTTGGGTACCCTCCCCCCCGCCCCTGTACCTACAAGAGGTCACTGCAGCTGCCTCCCCCAACCAGAAGTTCACAGCATCAGGCATCTTTCCTGGGGGACAGAGGGCAAGTTAGGAAGTCCAGGCTGGGGACAGCCACCAGAGAGGCTGGGTCAGGAGCAGCGCGGCCACCTTCCGGAGCACGCCCGTTGCTGAGTCAAGCTGGGGGATCTGCACACTGCGGGGGCAGCACCTGAGCCACAGCCGGCCGTGTGGACCCAGGCGTCTCTGAGGGGAGGGAACAGGCAGGCAGGTTGGCCCTCCTTCCCACAGCGTCCCCGGCTGCTGGCACTCACCCAGGGCCTCAGAGGCCCAGGGCACGTGGGGCTCCAGGTCGGGCAGCAGCTGGGGCAGCTCGGTGGGCAGGTTGGAGCACTGCTTCTGCACGTAGAGGACTCCCGGGTGCTGCGTCCGGCCCTCCAGGACGTCCAGCACGCAGCTGAGGGGCAGGCGGCGTTCGGCTGGCATCACGAAGCGGTCCCCTCGCACAGCGTCCGCATAACCATCTGGGGTCACAGCCACACTCACCTCTGTGGAGCCCACCGTGGCCCTGGAGGAGGGGACACTCAGCTCCTGTCCAGCTGCCAAGAACGCTGCCTGCCCCACCCAGCCCGCCCACCCCCAGGGCCGCACCCACCTCAGGTAGGGGAGGGACCACTTGTGCAGGGCCGGCCAGTGCCGCAGGGCATTGCGGATGATGCACGGTCTGTTGGGGCAGACCCAGTCCCGGTAGAAGTGGAGTGGGCTCGGGGGCTCGTCCAGGTAGGGCACAGCAGAGGGCACACTGAGCTCTGAGAGGAGAGGGGATGGGCAGCTGAGGCGGCACTGTCTCATCTGCTGTCTGCATAAGGGGGGGCCTCCCTGGGAGGGCCCCACTGTCACTCAGCACTGCCCCTGGGGACCCAGGCACCTGGACAAGCAGGAATATGAGGAAGGAAGCTCACAGGAGAAATGATGCACACACATCAGGGGCCCCAAGAGCTCGCACCTCGACCCCCGTGGTGCCCGGTCTAGGCCCCGGGCTTCACTGCCTGATGGGGCCCACTGCCCAGCAGCTACCAGGAAATGCAGCCCCTGAGCCGGGCTTAGGCGCTCCGGAATGTGTAGGGCCACAGCCCCAAGAGTGGTGTGCACTGACTGAGCACTTGGGTTATATGGAGGTACCACGAGAAGATGCAACCATCCCAAGAAGCCTACAGCCTCCCTGGGGAGGCTCAGCTATGCTGCTGCTCCTAGTGGGCAGCGCCGCCAGGCGACACCTGTGTACATGCCCACAGCCACCCGAGTCTCCCTTCATCGAGACTGACTCCTCCTTCTCCCTTACTCCTGCCCACCTGCTGCCGGTCCCACCTCCTACGGCTCTCAAACCTCCCCTTCCTTTTCTCTGCCGCGGCCCTTGCTCACGCCACCACCTCTGGGTTCCCGCTCAAAAGTCACACTGATGAGGCTTCACGTTTTTATTGACTTATTCCCATCTCATTTGAAAGGCAGAAAGACAGGAGTGAGACAGACAGACAGAGATCTCCCATCTGCTGGTTCACTCCCCAAATGCCCACAACGGCCAAGGCTGGGCCAGGTCAAAGCCAGGAGCCAGGAGGTTCGTCCAGGTCTCCCACGTGGGTGGCAGCGACCTACGCACGTGAGCCTCTCCGGAAGCTGCGGTGGAAGTGGAAAGGCCGGGACCTGAACCTGGCCCCTGATAATGGACACTGAGAGTCCCAAGCGGGGGCCTTAACCACTGCACCATTCCCCCGTTCCGCCAAACAGCCGGCCCAGACTGCTGTTTCTGAAACCACACCCTGGCTCCAACAATCCTCACACGGCTTCCCTCGCTTATTTTTCTCCTTGGCACACACCGCCATCTAATACCCTACATGTCGCACAGGGGTGGCCGAGCTCGTCCTGCTCACCGACACGACCCCTGCACACGGAAGGCGTTCAGCAGTCATCTGCTTAGCGGCTGAATGAAAGCCTTCCACACCCGCGTTGGCGGCTGCTCTGGGAGCGCCCCTCCCTCCCGAGGCCCCAGCCCCAGCCCCACCCCCGGTGAACCCCTCCGACGCTCACCACTGCCAGGGCGCATGCTCAGGCTGCTCCATGCCAGGACGGAGCGCCATCCCAGCAACGTCCCTGCCCTCCCGTGCAGTGCTGTGCCTCCCCTCAGCGCGCGCTCTACTCTGGGGTTGCTAGCTGCGGGTCCTGCTGCTCCCTCACGCTGGGTGCCTTTCTCCCAGCAGTGGCGTTCATACAGTGCCCAGGGCTTCATTTGTTACTGTCGTCCTTGAGGTCTGGCCAAACACCTTGGCCCCCGTTCGGCAGTTACTGCGTCCTGCTCCCATCAGCCACGGCACTCCCTTCACCCTGGGGCCCTGCTCTGTGTCTTCACGTAACTGTTCCAGAAACTGGAACCGAGTGGGAAGACCCCACTGGACACGGGAATACCAAAAAGGAACGAGCTGGCTCTCGTGCTTGCTTACTCCTCCAGCCATGGGCAAGATGGTGCCGGCTCAGCAGGCGTGGGAGGAAGTGGGCAGCAGAGGCACGTGCTTTCTCAGCCACTCCAGTCCTCAAAGCCAGGAGGTGACCTGGGGCCTTTGTGCACAAAGACTGCTCCCTGCAGACACCTGGCACACTCCCCCTAGGGTCCACGGCCCTCCACCTCCCTTCTCACCTACTTCTGTGTCACTTGCTAACGAGGCGTGGCCACAGCTGTCTGCCTCTCCACCCAGACAGTGAGCTCTATAGGGCAGAGTGGGTTCTTCGGTGATGGATCCAGAGCCTGTTAATATATACTGGCCAAAAGAATACTTAAAGGATCCACTGCCGAGCGAGGAAATGACCCAAAAATGCCCGGGGTAGATGGGTGTGGAATGGTCTCCACAACACAGGGCAGCACAGAGTCCTATCAAAGACAGCTCATGGGTGCATGGACTCACACACACACTCTGGGAGCCGGCGCTGTGGCGTGGTGGGCTAAGCCTCCGTCTGCGGCACCAGCATCCCATAGGAGCACTGATTAGAGTCATGCCTCCTCCACTTCCAACCTAGCTCCTTCCTATGGCCTGGGACAGCAGAAGATGGCCCAAGTCCTTTGGGCCCCTACAACGACATGGGAGACCCAGAGAAAGCTCCTGGCTTCTGATTGGCTTAGCTCCAGCAGTTGCAGCCATTTGAGGAGTGAACCAAGGGATGGAAGACCTGCTCGCCCTCTGTAACTCTCAATAATAATAATAATAATAATAATAATAATAATGCCTGCGCCGCGGCTCACTAGGCTAATCCTCCGCCTGCGGCGCCGGCACACCAGGTTCTAGTCCCGGTCGGGGCGCTGGATTCTGTCCCAGTTGCCCCTCTTCCAGGCTGGCTCTCTGCTGTGGCAGTGGAGGATGGCCCAACTACTTGGACCCTGCACCCCATGGGAGACCAGGATAAGTACCTGGCTCCTGGCTTCGGATCAGCGCGGTGCGCCGGCAGCAGCGGCCATTGGAGGGTGAACCAACAGCAAAGGAAGACCTTTCTCTCTGTCTCTCTCTCTCACTGTCCACTCTGCCTGTCAAAAAAAAAAGAAAAAAAGAAAAAAGAAAAGAAAGAAAAAAGATTCCCGCATCCCACAGGAGGGAACCAGGAGGGGAGGAGTTCTCGCCCTCTCTCTCTCCGCCGTTCAACAAAGACGAAATCTTTACAAGATTAAGTCTTCAGGTCGTAAGGACAACAGCCTGGCCAGCGCAGGGCGACTCAGAAACAGCCCACACGGCCCGGGCCTCGGGACCACGTGACTGGGGCCGCCCCGCTGCGGCACCAGCGTGTGAGGGCACAGGCAGGTCACATGCCGAGCTCCGCGGCGGCCCACGTCTCCGGCCCCTCAGGGGCCCTCCCGCAGCCTCCGAGCCAACCCACTCACCGCGGGCCGCGGCCGGGAATCCTCGCAACTCGCTCCGCACGGCGTCCAGGGCCGCGTCCGCCATGACGCCGCCAGGGACCCGCCCTCCTCGCGGGCCCCGCCCCGCGCCCCGCCTCCCGAGTGGGCCGCGCCTTTTCACCTGCCACGCTTGCCGGCATGCCAGGCTTAACAAATGACTGTGTTTATTGACAAGTTCATACATCAGTACAAACGGACACGTTAAAATCAGCCCCCGCCCCGTGCAGCCGGGGTGGGAGGAAGCGCCACGGCCTGGGCAAGGTATAAAAGTTATAAATAAAGGGGCTTTCAAAACGGGGGCAGGGCAAATCTGGACGGGGTGGCGGCTGCCAGTGGCCTCAGACATGCAGGAGGGGACTGAGCGCCGGCCCGGCCACAGACCCCAGCCCACGCTGGGCAGAGGGTAGGGAAAGGCGGCCACCTTCTCACGCACCTTAGCAGGAATGTTAACACCCTCCTCGCGATGGACAGGTCGGCTGCAGATGGCCAAGAACCTGGCCCAGAGGGTCAAGCCTGAGCCCTATTTGTGGTGGGCTGTGGGAGGTGCACGGAGTGAGTGCGCAGCTGCGAAGAGTTCCTGGGGCCAGGGTTTCACTTCAGCTTGGCCATGCAGGTGGTGGTGTAGAGTGGGGGTGGACAGGCTGGGATCTACTCAAGTGCACGCTGGCTGATGGGGCACCGACAGGCACCCTTCAGAACCCAATTTCATCATAAGCCTCTGCCAACGGAGCCAGCACGTGGGGGAACGAGCTTTAATGACCTGCAGCTGTGGTAAGGGTGCCCCAACTTACCTGGGGGTAGAGGGAAGCAGGAGGGCCCAGAGACACAGGTGCTTTGCCCAACTCTTCAACAACTGCCTGTTTGGTCCTACCCTTCCTACCTACTATAACCAATCTCCTCCCCCTTACCGCTAACACCTGCCCCTTTAATTCTAATCTACCTTCTCACCCCTGCCACTTACCTGTCCCTTCTACCACCTTTCTGGTGTCTCTTGGCCTCTGCGTTTCCCTCCCCTCAACCTCCGGTATCCAGGGCACCTAGCACTATCTTTGAGGAGGCTCTTTCTACCCGAACCAGATGCCCCATGGCCACCTCCCATCAGCTGGGCTGTGGATGCCAGAAATCCAGAATTAGGGTTTAGTGTGTTCCATTCCTTCTCGTGCTCCTTGACAAGGGTTCCACATTAAGCTAGGCTGGTGAAGCTGGGAGCAGGAGTGAGAGGAAGCCAGGCGCACTTCAGCCAGCCAAATACCCTGGCAACAAAAACCCAACTCTGTTTATGTGTGTGACCTCATCTGTGGCCAAGGTACTCAGAAGGTGGGCTGGCGCCCTGTAAACCATGAGGGAGGTTCCAACACAGGCTTCTGATTGAGCATCATTCAGGATGCAGGGGCAAGGTGGCCGCTGGGCTGCAGCAGCCTGCTGGGGACCAGGGGGAAGACCAAGAGGCTGAGGAAAAGAGGCCAGGCCTTCAGGCTTGCCCAGCAGAGGGCTTTACTGTCCTGCAGCAATGTCCCACGGCTGGATCCCCAAGTTCCGGCCAGGAGAGAAGGGGAGGGGGGAGGGACACAGGGGTAGAGACACTGGGGCCCTCTTGGAGGGAAGAACAGGAGTGGAATGTGGAGGCTCAGGTCCTGATGCCAACTCAAGTCTCCTGATGGCTGGGGACAGCCTGGAGGGCCAGTCGGCTCTGCCTTTCTGAGTGCCAGGAGTTGGGGAAAACAACCCCTGCTCCGGCAGCCAGGGGAGTGCAGCTGGTGTGGGAGGGGAAGGCGAGGTAGAGGTGAAGGTACTGAATACCACATCGCCTCTCACCTCTACCCCACGGAGTACCCTGTGTCTGCTGATCCCTGAAGTAATTTCAAATGGCTTCGAAGAGGAGGGTGGCCCTTCCCGGTGGTCCCAGATGGGGCAGGCTGCCCTCCTAGCCCTCACAGCACCAAGGTGACAAAGACCTAAGATCTACCCCTGCCATGAGCCCCTGGGCAGGCTGTGGAGGCAGGAGTTCCATGGAGGTGAGGCAACAGTCAGGGAAATAAATTAATAAATACGGCGCCCCATCATGAGCAGCTGGGAGAACTGCCATGCCTCTGAGCACTGACCCCTGCCACCAACTCAGCATCCCCACAGGTCTGGGGAGTGGACGAGGGGCTACAGTCCAGAGCAGGGGCAGCGTTCTCTGGGGACAGGCTGCCAGAGCTCAGAGTTTGCGTTCCATGCGCCGCTCCACGGCTCGAAGCAACAGCTCTGAGTACTGCTCCAGCAGGGCCTGCGTTTGCTCAGCTCCCACAGCCCCAGGGCTCCCGCCTGGGCTGGGCAGCGCTGCCCCGGCCAGGGCCTCCAGCTCCTGCCGCACAGAAGAGAAGGTGTCTCTGAGGAGCTGAGTGATGCGACTTTGCTCTGCTGAGGGCGTCTTGCAGCCGGCCACCTGCAACAGGACCCCGGGGAAACACGTTAGAGGACCAGGAGAGGGGCCCCACCCGAGTCTCCCACGCCCCGCAAGAGACTGGCGGGAGTTCTGTGCTCCAAGGGCAGCAAGTAGGAGCAGAGGATGCGGGACCCAGGCAGACCTTGCAGGGTGACCTCGAAGGAGGGCCCTATCAGATTACAAAACCATCTACATCTCCTCAGCAACTCCTTACAACTCACATAGAATCCACTTTCTCCAGCAAAGCTTGAGCCCTGCTGGACTAGCCGCTATATCTAGGACGGCCAAACCAATTTGGATATGAAAAGGGATCCTACTGATAATTACACTGGAACAACAGGCATACACTGGGATTGTCCTGAGCAAACCAGGCCTGCAGTCCCTATGTCCCACCTTCCTGTCCTAGGGAAGTCACCAGGTTTTACCCAGCAATGACTCCCAGGTGCCTGGCTCAAGAGGCCTGGCCCAACCTTTAACACGCTCTTCTCCCCTTCTCCACGTTAACGCTGGAGCAGCCTTCGTCCAGATGCTCTGGACACCCGGCGACCTAGCACTGCTGACCCGCTCTGAGTTCCCACCAGCGGGTGCCCAACACTCACCGAGTGGTAGAGCCGCACAGCCTGGCGCACACTGGCACGGAGCTCTGCCACAAGCCGCTCACACTCCTGCAGGCTCACCGTGTGTTCTGAGAGAGACGGCTGGAGCTCAGGGAGGCCCAGCAAGCTGCCCTCGCGCCACCCCCCACTGGCCTCGGTCCCTCCCTCCTGCCTCCTTCCCTTCTAGTGCCCTCCCCAACACCACTGAGACAGCAAGGTCCAGAAAGGAGGGCCTACCCAGCCCCAGAAGGCACTGAAGGCTGAGTGGGACGCAGGGAGATCATGAAGGTGGGCAGGACTTGTCTCACCATCAGGGGTGTGACTCATGACCGAGACAGGAGCAGACAGGACGAAAAACACCAGAGGCTGGACACACAGAAATGGGATGGAGCCAGAGAGAAGCCAACAGTGATGGAGAGAAAGGATGAGGCAAGAATGAGAACTGGGGAGCTGTGCACACCTGAGTCCTGGCTCAGGGCTGCCCCTGGTCTGGTGCATTCCATGGGGTTGGGAGTCTTCTCAGAGGTTGGGGGCTGCAAGTTCTCAGGGCCTCGGAGGAGAATGCTGACCGGCAGCTGCTGGGCACGGGGGCTGCTGGGCCCAGAACGAGCCTGGCACTCTGTCCTGGGCTTGGGAGTAGCACCCTCCCCCAAACAGGCCCGCCTCTCAGATGCACTGGGAGCCTTTCCTACGCCAGCTGAGGAGTCAGGCTGCTCTGTCTCAGCAGGGGCCCGGCCCTTGGATACAGGTGAGAATGCAGCCAGGGTAGGACGGTCCGGCCGCGGTTTGGGGATGTTCAGGACCAGGTGAGCCCGGCTTGGCAGGGCCAGCTTGCTGAGTGGTGAGACTCGGCTGGGGGCAGGGGCTTGAGGTTCGGCCACCATGCCCAAGTTTTCCCCAACAGAGACACTGCGGGATATCTTGGCCATGGAACTGGTGGTAGAGTTCTGGTAGGAGTAGGGCTGAGATGGATGGCCATCAGCCTGGGGCAGCAAGCCCAGGCCACTTTGGGCCTCATCTGCAGAAGAAACAGGGGTATGTGCAGGTCAGGCAGTGAGGGAGGCATCCAGGTACTTAGGTTCAAGCTCTGGGAGCCACTCCTCCCCTGTACATGTCCATTAGGCAACACCCAGGGCCACATCAGGGCCACCACAGCCCCTCCCTCCTCCATCACGTCCATGCAGCCAACAATGCCCACACCCTGAAGCTGAGCCCACCTGGCTCTTCACCCTGCGGCACCAAACTCTGCACAGACTGGGCTTTCTGCAGTCCAGGTAAGGAGCCGGCTGCAGCTACTCTCTTGGGGGCCCGGCTGCTGTCGGGGTTGTAACGGCGTCGTGGCAACAGCACAGGGCCTGCCTGCTCAGGGCGAGGGTTGCCAGGGGAGGGCTCCATCTCCGGAGGTGCTCCAGGGGGGTTGGCAGCACTGCCTCTCAGCTGCTCACTAGACGCCTGTGCCATCTGGACTGGTCTCGACATCAGTGGCAGACTTGAGGAGGACGACGGTTCCCTACAGGGAGGGAATATGCAAGAAGACCCGGGGAAGGCTCTGTGTTTCTCCCTGCCAAGACGGTGAGCAGCTCTCTCAGCACCAGGGAGACACCAGGAGAGAACATGCACAAAGCGAACAGGGTTGGGGCAAGGCCAGTTTCCCAGGACCAGGGGTGGAAAACACCTGAACCTTGAAGGGAGGAGGGCTGCCTGCTGCCCCGGAGGCAGGGGCACTGGGGGGGTCAGGACAGCGGCAGCTGCTGTGGGGCCAGGTCTCTGTACCTGAGTGGGGGAGTCTGCACTTGCAACAGGAATCGGGACGAGATGCTCCGAGACTCTGTCCTCTCCGGCACCCGAACTGGGCCCCCTGTCAGGGTTGTAGGAATCATCAATGAAGGCAAGAGCCAAGCCCCTGCCCTAGATTCTGCCTCCCCAGAAGGAAACCCCAAGGCATTGCCTGCCTTGGGCCCTCCCTCTCAGCTAGGCAAGGAGGGAGAAAAAGAGGCTGCAGGCACCGAATGCTGGCCCTCTGACCACACCTGGAGCAGCCCCATTGGCCAGAGTCTCAAAGTGCTGTTTCAGAAATTGCTCCTGGTCCGGGGTATGGGGGCTGCCTTCCTGCAGCCCGTAGG